AATTTAAGAGAGAAGTTAAGTTTCTGACATTCCATGTAGTCCTTGCAGATATTTTACACATTTCTTGACTGATATATAACAATTGCTTATCATCAGTTTGATATAAACATAAAATTTCACATTTAGATTGTTGAGTGTTAATCCAGAAGCAGCAGAAAATTGGTCAATTAAGGATATAGCATATTCAATCTGATGTTTGTCCTTTAAAAAAAGGGCTGTATCATCAGCTGACTGAGTCAATCAGATTTCTTTACCAAAAATAGACAAACCTTGAATATGTAGTGACAGTAGTTCAACCACCAGCAGGAACAAAAAAGGTGAAATACGGCAGCCCTGGCGAACTGATCTAAGTACAGGAAATCTTTTGGTGGTATTTGGGTAAAATTAACACAACTGTCAATATTTTTATAAAACATTTCTACAGTGGATATAAGTTTTGGTCCAAAATCAAATGTTTGGAGTGCTTTGAACAGGAAGTAGTGGTCTGCAGGATCAAATGCTTTACAGACATCGAGAAATACAATCAGAGCATCGGTTTAAATTTTATCAGAATAGTCCAGCAAGTCAAGAACAAGTCTTATATTTGAACTTATGTGACGTTTACACATGAAACCTGTTTGTGTTTCATTTATGATCTCGTGAAGGCCTTTTTTTAAACCGCGTAGCAAAAATGAATGACAATATTTTATAATCAGTGTTTAAGATAGTTATAGGTCTCCAGTCTGGCCTTGCTTCATACTTGTGGACATTTCTTTTTTAGCATTACATTCTTTGAATAATTCAAGTAGAGGACTTTCAATGATGTCCCAAAAATGTAATACAATCCAACAGAAAGCCCATCATTACCCGGTGATTTCCCTTTTTCATCGACAAAACAGCTTCTGAAATTTCTATTTTTGCAACGGGCCGTTCACAGTTTAAAGTGTTCAGATATAGTTGGAGTGAATTCTTTAACTGAATCAATGAATTCATCACAGTCATCGACTTGAGTATTTGTCTTATGTATATATTGCTATAAAATGAGCCAACATGTCTAGAGATGTCCAAAGGATTAGAGGTCATGTTATCATTAATTTTAAGGATATTTATATTTTCTTTTGCAGTTTCTCTTCTCTAAAGCGAAGAAGTAACTAGAGTTTCTTTTCCCCTTTTTCTAGCCATTTTGCTCGGGACCTTATAAAGGCCCCTTTAGTCATTTCAATATACATGTTGTCCATTTCCTCCTTTAGTTTCTTCATTCTTATTTCTTCATTTTCTGAAATTTTATCTTTAATCAATAAAGCATTTAATTCATCCATACATTTTTTTTGGCTATTTTTTTTATTTATTTCTTTACTTCATTTTATTGCTATTACTCTGATTTTGTACTTGAAATATTCCTTTCCTGATTCCTTTCATTGTTATCAAATATGTTTTTTGCAGTTTTTTTCCCACCAGATCACAGAATCCCTCATCATTTAATCATTTATTATTTAGTTTCCAATAACCACGTAAATGATTGTTTTGTGTTTTGTTCCTGCTAAATGGATTGAGATTACTTTCTGATCAGAAAGTCGGGCATAACTATGAGCTGATTCTGAAACAAACTGTAGACAAGAGCGAGATATAAGCCATAAATCAATTGTAGATTGTAGGGATCTATTGGCATTTCTCCAAGTAAACTCATTAATGTCTGGGTTTAAAAAGCGCCACACATCTATAATTGACAGCTGTACTTTTGAATCTTGAATGTGAGATTAGTCTTGCAGGTATTCTATCTACAAGATCATCTGGAGCATCAATATCTCCCCAATGATCAAGTGTGCTTCCTTATATTTGATTATAAGGGCTTTCAGATGTGTGCAGACTGTTAGGAGCTTTGCTTTGCTTGACCTGTATTGTTGTAGTTATATAAATAGCAAACTATAAAAACGGAATTGTCTAATTTGAAAACTAAGATTATCTGTCTGCCCTCTTCTGACATCAACTATGTCTCCTTTAAACTTAAGGACGGCGACACCTGCTGATTGTTGAGAGGAATGGCAGAAATAACATTGTGCTTTCCAAAACTTCACACCACAGTCTACTGAACATAAAAAGATTTTCTTTTGGTTCTGTCACGGATACCTCTGACATTAAGAGATATTATTTTTAAATAAAAAATGAAACTATTAACTGGAAGTCTGTTAAAGGTTGTAGGAACTAGCTAAGAAAAAAACCAAACTCTTAAGATAGAGAATATCAGGTAAATAAGCTTATCACCAAGTTGAATACTCGAGTACCTGAAATTTTAGTGGGATGAACGTGTTGCTCTTATTATCAAATGAACCCATTGAGACTGGGTGACCTAATAAGCCTGGAGTTCAAACTGAACTGCTGAACTCACATTAAAAGTCGTTTAACTTTCTCAGAGTCTCACACCATCGATAACGACAGCAGGTTCCTGCCATTTGGTCTTCTTTCCATCAGCTTGCTTCACTCGAGGCCAGAGTCTTTCCAGCTGAGTGAGATTCTTTTCCTTCATGACATCGGCGTTGAGAGAAGCTCTCCAAACCTTCAGTCTGAAGGTGCGCATGGTGGTAAACTGTATGAGGACGGGGCGGGTGCTTTTATCCCGTCTTGGCTCTTTTCCTCTGGGATGATTTCAGCAGTGACCTCCAGCACCTCCTTTCACATCCTCATTGTTGCTTTCTGGTAGATTCAGAAGTCGGAGGTTCTCCTGCTGTCACGCTCTGGATCTTCTTGTTTCCTCCTGCGATCTGTTCTTTCATCGTCTTCACTGTGTCATCTGTTCCTTTCCACTGGATTTGCAGCCCTTTCTTATCTTATTGCAATCTCAGCTGTATTTTTGATTACCATTTCTTCAAACTTTGAACAGCGATCATTTAGGCCGTTACTGGCTTTAAGCGTGTCAGCGTTGGAGACCGTCTCATGTTCTGCAGACTTTCTTGGGGTTTGCGCGGTCCGTGGGTGTGACGGGTAGAGCTGCACGTAAACCAGAGAGACACATCTATTATCAAGCCTCCTTTTTTTTTTTTTTTTACATTCTTGGCATCTCTCTTGAACATCTTGGCTCCGCCCAGCTGCCTGGACACGTGGTGTGATTCTTCCGCGCTCGTATTGGGGCAGGGCATTGCGCACGCTTAGCAGCCCATTGGTTCATTTTCTGCTACTGTTCCAGTAAATTAAATGGATTCTACCACAGACTGTGAAAAAGTTCACTACAGGTCAGCAAACAGCAGCAGAAACAGAGAAACACTCAGATATTTAACTATCTCACTTAATGTGTTTCTATCAACAAGCTGTTTCACTAGTTATTAATAGTAATTAAAAAAAAATGTACAAGTCGAAATGAAAATGTTACCAGAAACTTATGAACAGATCTGAACTGCAGAGCCACATATAAATATTAGTAGCTTTTAAACTAATAAATGTGAATAAATGTTAACCAGGCTCGCCAGGAACATCTCCTCCTCTCTTCACTGTGAAGAAGTTATTTTCTAACTCTGCTCTAAAAGTCTTTTTGTCTACATGAATGCTCGTCTTTACCTGAAGCTGCTGGAGACAGAAGGAGCAACAGGAGCACAAAGTTTTCCTCCATGAGGACTTAAGATCCACCTGATGAAACAGACTTGATGAAACAGCCTAGTTAAACTCTGCAGGGTGAGCATGACACATGCTGCCTTCAGGGGCGGTCGGAAATGTCGAAATGAGAAAGGGGGCCGCGCAAGAGAAGGTCAAAGTGGGGGTTTTTAAGGTGCTGCAGCTAGAATCTGACATTTAAATGGAGACTTTATATTTCTGATCCAAAACTTCCACTTTTTGTTAAAGTCAGTGAATATTTCCTAGCTCTCCGGTTTTATTTCCTGTGAAGAAACCCGGATTCCTACACAGATATGGGTCAGTGAACATACGTACAAAGGGCGGACTCAGACCTGGTTAAAGGATGGCATGATCTCAAGCTGCACAGAAGGAGAAGAAGTCATGTGAACATCTGTGCTGCATTACAGCACTGGAGGAACCTGACTAGGCCTACTTCAGTACTGTAAAGTCAGATTTTTACACACAAACACATGAAGAGTTTATAAAATCTGATGTTTAACAGTTTAAACAAGCGGACAGGAGTCTCACACTGACAGGGAGATTCATTTTTATTTTTTTTTTAATGTAAAAACATTTGATGGTTCCACACATGAAAGATCTGCTGCTTTTCCTTTATTTGTAATAACGTTGAGCTCTGTGCTGCTGGTTCGACAGAACAAAGCGTTATGAAGGAGTCACTTTGGGCTCTGGGTCACTGTTTTCAGTTTCTACAGTCAGCTGATTGATCCAGAATGAAAAGAGTCTGAGCTCCTTTATATTAATTCACATGGAATAATACTGTAAAATAATATATATATATATAAAACACACAGTCAGAGGACATTCAGTACTTTTAATACCACTAATAAGGACATTTTCCTGATTATACTCACCATCTTTTACTTTAACAGTATTTTTACAGTGTGGTTATTATTCATCATCTTACACCAAACTACCTCATCCAAGACCTGGATCACCTTCTGTTCATAGTGATCGGTCCGAGCTGGTGTGTCGGGTCCTAGCAGGTCTGTGATACAGCAGGAGCCTGTAAAGCCTCAAACCTTCAAAATCAGTTCTAAAGCCAACATGGAGCCAGAGTAATGAGGCTGAAACAGGAGAGCTGCGATCAGGGTTCTTGGTTCTGGTTCTGCAGCCTGGCCGCTGAGTTCTGAACGGTCTGCAGCCGATCAGCAGATCAGTGATCCAGGCAGGTACAGGTAAGAGTGTTCCTGTGGCCCAAACAGGATGAAATCAAAAGGTTTGATAAAGTCTGAAATGAGAGAAATGTCCTGCTTACTGTCTCCTTTACTACCTGCAGTCCAGGACCAGGAGCTGCAGTAAAGGGGCTGTTAAATGGACCAGGTTCTGGCCTTTCTACCTGCATGAACATCAGATTCCTGTAACTCCTCAGGTGATCCTGAGTTTAAAAAGACCAAACCTTCAAAATAAAGCACTTTATTCAGAGCAGCTGAAACAGAAATATAAACCTGGTAAATCTGAGGCCCAGAGCAGCAAAGACAAGACTTTGATATAAACTGTCCACACAGTGTCCTCTCAGGGTCTCCTGAAGCGTCTTCCTGAGGACGCAGAGTCTGTCCTGATGCTGCCGGGCTTCTCCAGGCGTCTCCAGGACTCTGCCTGCACACAGCCGACTCACTGTTGCTGCTGCTGGTCCTGGGACTGTCCCTCTTCACACCAGGACGAAGGAGACGCCTGTAACAGAGGGGAGACCAGAGGACACGTCAAGCTGACTAAAGTTTCAGACCTGCCCGCTGCAGTCCTCTGGTTCTTCAATGCAACCTGTTTTAACACGCGTTTGTGGGCGAGCCGACCGGGCCGCCACAGAACACGTGCAGGAAAGTCCATGTATGGTGGTGATCGGTGCACACGTGTCACTACCGGCCAGCTCAGGGAGAATCTGAGGCGGCGTCTCAAACCTCCCCAGAGGAAGACGTCCAGTCCGTCCTGACAGCAGCACTACAGGAGGAAACTCTGAACCACTGAACTGCTCTGCTCTGCCAGCTGCATCATTTCAACATGATAACTACGATGTTCCAGTCAGTGATCATGAAAGATCACTGTTCACTGATCAGCTTTATAGGTTACATATTAAACAGTGATTACTGCAGTGATGTGTTTCACTGTCCACAGAGTAGATAAGATAACTCTGTCCTTACATGGACGACAGATTGATCAGAAAAGCGGTCATGTTCGAGATCATGTTTGGATGAAAAACTTCTATCTAACCGGGATTTTGTGTCAGACAGCTGCTTCAGGCTCCGCAGGAGGAGGCGGAGGAGGAGAGAAACTGACGGTTTTCCAACTGATGCTGTGAACCTGACCTCCTCCCGAGGAGTTTCCTTCATCTCAGGCTCAACATCCCAATCTACGTGAAATCGTACCCCGCCTTGGCTCCTCCCAGAAATTACTACGCAAATGACCATAAATACGCCGACGCCACCTCCTGAGGTCCAAATAACAACGGCTGCTGCAAACCAGTGGCCTGCGCTAGGAAGGGAGGAACTCGGGTAACAAACTCTGACCGCTGCACTGGAGTTAATCTACGACGGCGCGTTCGCATAAAAGCTTTTCGGCCGTTTTCGCAACGCCGCATGCTCCGTATTTCTCCAGAGGAACACGCGTTGGTAGTGTCGGGGAAATTATGAATGTAAAGACACGTTAACGGCTAAAATCTAATATCGTGGCGGACGACAGAGCCGGGGGCCTGTTGGCATCGCATGGAGTAAATTTGTAGCCTAATTATCTTCACAGTGTTCTTATTGTAGTTCAAATCTCTATTCTGTATTTTATGAGCTCTTTTATGTGTAATATGATTAAGATGTAAAGGTCCACTGTAATAGGAAAAAAGGAGAATTTAATTTCCAAGATTATTCTACAAGTAAAAAACTTGAATATTCTGTCACACATTTAATAATAATAATTTGAATTTGTATAGTGCTTTTCACGAACTCAAAGTCGCTTAAATTTATTACATTTATGAGAGAAACTTCACTTTTCAAGGCTGCAACATAACACACACGTCTGCAGTGTGTGATGCATGCACTGGAAAGTGATATTATTATATTAGACTGCAATCAGATTCAGCAGTGAGGAAATACTGGTGAGTTTAGCCCATAATCACCACCGCGCACCTCAGAGACTTTGCCTTGGATTGGGCGTATTCAGAAGAAATTCTTTGTGACATTAATTTCAGGGAATTTCTGATTTTTCTCGGTTATTAACCCTGTCAATCTAAATATGTGAAAAAACTCAGGAGAATTCAATTACAGACCACAGACGGCTCCGTCTCAGAAACTGTCCACCTTTCGTAGTACTCGTTAATCAGGAAGTTACCTGGTTCCCTCGCTTCGTAGTACAGACCTCTGGTCTAAACAGAGATCGAGGTGCTGATCACTGAGGAGGAGAGAAGAAATATTTTATTTGATGCTTGAACTGAGATCAGCAACAAACGCAAAACGACGGCGTGTCAGAGTCACAATGCCGCTCAGAGACTCAACACGGTCTGACATGAAGTGAAGGTCAAATAAAACTGCTGGTTTAACGTTTAAATGATATGAAGTGAAGTTAAATCTGTGAGAGGCATCATCATCTACTCCTCTCACAGTCACTTTTATTTTGTATTAACGGACATAATTTGGTTTTTGATCGACTTCTTCACTGACGGATGCACAGAAACTGAAGTAGAAGCGTTGATTTAAAACAGTTAAATCTTTCAAATCAGGACTTTAAGTTCACCGACAGAGCCAGACGAAGGTTTGCTGAGGGTCCGCACATTCTCACGTCACGTACATGTTTATACATCCCACGTGTGCGTGAAAACCAGCGTACGTAACCTTTTTGTGCATATGTGGCGTTTATACACGAGGCCACACAGAGAAGATCCACACACTGAAACAGAAAGTGTTTGTTTAACTCAGGATCTCTGAGTAACTCACATGTGTCAAAGCTGGGATCTGCAGGGTCACAGGTGGCATCCAGCCCTCCTCCAGGTCCAGGTCCAGGTCTCTTTATAGGTGAGCATGTTAGAAAGGCCTGAGCAGCTGCACAGGGAACTGAGGATGTCCCTCCACCAGAGTCTCTGCAGCACAGAGACAGGTTTTAAGAACACAAGTTACGAGACAAATACTCAGCAATATTACTGCAGAGTAGCACAGACGTGAGACAGAACAAACCTGGACCAGAGGAGCAGGGAGGAGTCCTCGCTCTTCTGTCAGGAAACATCTCTGCTGGCCTGAAGCAGGAAACACTGACAGGTTAGTCCAACAGCTGCAGTTCTGTCACAAATACTAGTACTGCAATAACGTTCGGTGTATCTGTGGATCGGAAAGGTTGTTAGTCTCTGGGCTGCGACGCTGAAAACAGCTTCTGATTGAAGAGTTGGGGAAAGTGAACCCCGCTGAGCGACAGGTTCTCTGGGTTCTGCTCTTCCTGTGAAAGCTGGCAGGCCTTTTAGGAAAAGTCTTCACGCGGTCTGAAACACTTTACACGGTTCATAAAACCTTTATTTTGTTTGTGAAAATGAGAAAAGGATGATTTCACTGCTCTTTTTTTTTTTTGCCAGTAACCCACATTAGACCAGGTCCTAAGGTCCTGATCAAAAACCAGTACACCTAGACCTGCCAAATCTGGATTACATTTTTCCAGAGAGAGGAAGTTTCTTTAAAACGGCGTTTAGAATCAGAAGCTAACTTCAGCGTCGTGTCTGCGCTTGAAGCTGCCCAGACGACCACCGATGGCTTCAGGTACGAGCAGTTCCCACGTAGGTGACCACAAACACATCAACACCATCAGGACACAAATCAGACAACACGACCATTTAGAGGACTGGCAGCCCTCAGCCGAGCACACTAGCTGCCAGCCAGGTCATCGCTGCGTTTCCTGCCGAGCGTCACAGTTTCACGACTTCTCCATATCAAAGAAGAAAGTAAGGTTTTATCTTGACCATTGAAGGACAGGACAAGTCAGAATGTGTCATTTGTGGCGAGAAGCAAGCTCATGACAGCATGAAGCCATCAACAAACAAAACACCAGGAGACTGCTGGTGAAGCCAAGAACTTGGCAGCGATTTACACAGAGGCCTCATTCGAGTGTTCGCTATTAAAATACCATTCAGTTGGATGAAACGACAACAGTGTCAGACGAGTCCGTGCTCATGTGCAATATATTCACGGCAAGGATTTGCAACAAGACATTCTTATGTCCACCAATCTGACCACAACAACTACAGGACAAGATATTTTTATGGCTGTGGACTCGTCATCCAACAACCTGCCCTACAGAGAAGCTTGCTGCACTGATGCCGCTGCAGCAGGATTTAACTGCCGTCTGAAGGAAAAAGCCCCAGGGTGCATTGCCAAGCATTGGCCAGTAAAACACTTTCTGAAGACCTCGGTGACACCCTGACAACTAAAGTTGGAAACTTCATCAAAGCTCGCGCTAGGAACAAGAGACCGTTTGCCCAGCTGTGTGAGGACGCATCAAACACTGCTGTTACGCACAGAGGTACGCTGGTTGTCGCGCGGACAAGTGCTTGTGCGTTTTATTGAACTGCAGGAAAAAATGATGGAATTCTTGCATGATCACAACTGACACCTGCACGAACAGCTGACTGACGCTTTCTGGAAGTAAACGGCCTACTTACACAGATTTACTCTCTACAATTAGACAAACAAGCGGAAGCAAGGCCCTGAATCACACGTCATGCAGTGCAAAGACGCTCTCAGCGCATTTGTGCGCAAAATGGAATACAGAGTTGGGAAAATGTCAAAAAGGAGAGCTGCTACAATTTCCACTGTGGCACTGTGTGTGCGTCTTTACGCACCGAGTTTACCCCACTCATGAACTTGCTCCAGGAGGAAATGTTGACGAGTACTTATCAAAAGGATCGTGGGTGATGGACCCGTACGTTTCCAGCCTGGAGCACGTGGAATACCTCGGCTGTGAGGATGAGCTTGCAGCACTTCAAGCCGATTCTGTGTCAAAGAAATATTTCCAGAAATAAGGGATACAAAAAGTTTTGGATCGTCAAAGGACACGCTGTTGCACCCACACTGGCCAAACACGCAGTTAATTCAATTTCAATTTGATTTATATAGCGCCAATTCACAACAACAGTTATCTCACAGCGCTTTTCATAAAAGAGCAGGTCTAGACCGTACTCTGTGATGATATTTACAGAAGCCCAACAGTTCCCACCAAGAGCAGCACTAGGAGACAGAGGCAAGGAACTTCCTTTTAAGAGGCAGAAACCTCGAGCAGAACCATGACTCAGGGTGGGCGGCCATCTGCCTCGACCGGTTGGGGTGAGGGGGTGAGGGTGAGAGAGAGAGAGAGAGAGAGAGAGAGAGAGAGAGAGAGAGAGACTACACAATATACACACAGAGGTACAGACAGTGAAGGTAATGTTGCTATAAACTAAATGAAAAATGGTACAGATATTTATAGTAGTGTTAATGGTAACCATCGTAATGTTAATGATTATAATAACAATAATAACAATAGGACTAGCAACAATAGTCGTTGCAGCAGAGGGTGTCGAGCAGGAACACGGGGGCAGCAGGTGACCCGCAACCACAGATCCAGACTCCACAGCTCCAGAGCCAGAAACACCTGCAGGAAGTGATAGGAGGAGAGAGGAGAGGGACGAGAAAGCACAAGACTACCGGAAAGGGGAGAAGTTGTGTTAGTAACATGCAATAATGGGATGAGGTTGCATACAGAGGGAGAGAAAGTAGAGAGAGGAGCTCAGTGCATCATAGGAAATCCCCCGGCAGTCTAGGCCTATAGCAGCATAACTAAGGGATGGTTCAGGACTCACCTGAGCCAGCCCTAACTATAATCTTTATCAAAGAGGAAAGTCTTAAGCCTACTCTTAAATGTGGAGATGGTGTCTGCCTCCTGAACCCAAACTGGAACCTGGTTCCACAGGAGAGGAGCTTGATAGCTGAACGCTCTGGCTCCTAGTCTACTTTTGGAGACTCTAGGAACCACAAGTAACCCTGCATTCTGGGAGCGCAGTGCTCTGGTGGGGTAGTAAGGTACTATGAGCTCTTTAAGATAAGATGGTGCCTGACCATTAAGAGCTTTGTAGGTAAGAAGAATGATTTTAAATTCTATTCTGGATTTTACTGGAAGCCAATGCAAAGAAGCTAAAACAGGAGAAATGTGATCTCTTTTCCTGGTTCCTGTCAGAACACGTGCTGCAGCATTCTGGATCAGCTGAAGAGTCTTAATGGACTTTTTCGAGCAGCCTGATAATAAGGAATTGCAGTAATCCAGCCTAGAAGTAAATGCATGGACTAGTTTTTCTGCATCATTTTTAGACAGGATGTTCCTGATTTTCGCAATATTACGTAGGTGAAAAAAGGCGGTCCTTGAAATTTTCTTAATGTGAGACTTAAACGACATGTCCTGATCAAAGATAACTCCAAGATTCCTCACAGTGGTGCTGGAGGCCAGGGCGATGCCATCCAGGGAAACTATATCTTTAGATAATGCGTCACGGAGGTGCTTAGGCCCCAGAGCAATAACTTCAGTTTTATCTGAGTTTAACATGAGAAAATTACAGGTCATCCAGGTTTTAACATCCTAAAGGCACATTTGAAGTTTAGCTAACTGATGAGTTTCATCTGGCTTGATCGATAGATATAACTGAGTATCATCTGCATAACAATGAAAGCTTATGGAATGTTTCCTGATAATATTGCCTAAAGGAAGCATATATAAAGTGAAGAGGATTGGTCCAAGGACAGATCCTTGAGGAACTCCATGAGTAACTTTGGCGTGCATGGAGGACTCATCGTTAACATGTACAAACTGAAATCGATCTGATAAATAGGACTTAAACCAGCTTAGAGTGGTTCCTTTAATGCCAATGAAATGTTCCAGTCTCTGCAATAGGACCAGATGGTCAAAGGTATCAAATGCAGCACTAAGATCTAATAAAACCAGTACAGAGACAAGTCCTTTGTCTGATGCAATAAGGAGGTCGTTAGTAATTTTCACCAGTGCTGTCTCTGTGCTATGATGAGCTCTAAATCCTGACTGAAAATCCTCAAATAAACTATTGCTCTGTAGAAAGTCACACAGCTGTTTAGCAACTGCTTTCTCCAGAACCTTAGAGAGAAATGGAAGGTTAGATATAGGTCTATAGTTGGCTAAAACATCCAGATCAAGTTTGGGCTTTTTCAGAAGAGGTTTAATTACAGCTACTTTAAAGTACTGTGGTACATAGCCTGTTGATAGAGATAGATTGATCATATCTAGTACAGTGGGGGAAAAAAGTATTTGACCCCTTGCTGATTTTGCAGGTTTGCCCACTTACAAAGAATGCAACAATCTACAATTTTAATCATATGTACATTCTAACAGTGAAAGACAGAATCCCAAAGAAAATTCCAGAAAATCACATCATATGAATTTATAAAAATTGATAACCATCTGATGAGGAAAAACAAGTATTTGACCCCCTGGACAAACAGCAAGTATTCTGGCTCCTACAAGCCAGTTAGTCTTTCTTTAAGACACAGCCCAATCCCAACCAATTATCTACATCAAATACACCCGCCTCACCTCGTTACCTGTATAAAAGACACCTGTCAACACCCAAACAACCAGCATCCAACATCACCACCATGGGCAAGACCAAAGAGCTTTCTACGGACATCAGGGACAAGATTGTTGATCTGCACAAGGCTGGGATGGGCTACAAGAGAATCGGAAAGCAACTTGGAGAGAAAAGATCAACTGTCGGTGCAGTTATCAGGAAATGGAAGAAGCACCACACCACCGCCAAACTCCCTCGGTCTGGGCCTCCACACAAGATCTCGCCTCGTGGGGTGTCCCTGATCATGCGAACGGTGAGGAATCATCCCAAAACCACAAGGGGGGAACTGATGAATCAACTGAAGGCAGCTGGGACCACAGTTACAAAAGAAACGGTTGGTAACACACTACGCCGTCATGGATTGAAATCCTGCAGCGCACGCAAGGTCCCCCTGCTCAAGAAGAAACATGTACAGGCCCGCATGAAGTTCGCCATTCACCACCTGGACGACTCAGAAGAGGCCTGGAAGAAGGTGATGTGGTCAGATGAGACCAAAATAGAACTTTTTGGCCTCAACTCAACTCGTCGTGTTTGGAGGGCAAAGAACACCGAGTACAACCCAAAGAACACCATCCCCACCGTCAAGCATGGTGGTGGCAACATCATGCTTTGGGGGTGCTTTTCAGCCAAGGGGACGGGACAACTCCATCGTATTGAGGGGAGGATGGACGGGGCCATGTATCGTGGAATTCTGGACCAACATCTCCTTCCCTCAGTGAGAGAGCTGAAGATGGGTCGAGGATGGGTGTTTCAGCACGACAACGACCCTAAGCACACCGCCAAAGCAACAAAAGAGTGGCTGAAGAAGAAGCACATCAAGGTTCTGGAGTGGCCTAGCCAGTCTCCAGACCTGAATCCAATTGAAAATCTTTGGAGGGAGCTTAAAATTCGAGTTGCCAGGCGACAACCTCGGAACCTGAATGATTTGGAGGCTGTCTGCAGGGAGGAGTGGGCCAACATCCCTGCCGAAATGTGCACAAACCTTGTCACCAACTATAAAAACCGTTTGACATCTGTGCTGGCCAATAATGGCTTTTCTACAAAATATTAACATGCTGTTTGTCCAGGGGGTCAAATACTTGTTTTTCCTCATCAGATGGTTATCAATTTTAATAAATTCATATGATGTGATTTTCTGGAATTTTCTTTGGGATTCTGTCTTTCACTGTTAGAATGTACATATGATTAAAATTATAGATCGTTGCATTCTTTGTAATTGGGCAAACCTGCAAAATCAGCAAGGGGTCAAATACTTATTTCCCCCACTGTAGGAGTCCTCCGTTACTTTGTGACTAGATAATGTATTTAGAGCTGATGGAATCGCATCCTTAAATTTAGCTACAGCACTATCAGACAGACATCTTGTATAGAAATTTTTGCCCAATGGCGAGTAGTTCAGCAATACAAACTCAAAAGTTATCAAACAGTGGTCGGATAAAGAGGGATTCTGTGGGAACACCACTAAATGTTCAATTTCAATACCATACACCAGAACAAGGTCGAGGGTGTGGTTAAAACAGTGAGTCGGTTCATGAACACTCTGAGAGAAGCCAATGGAATCTAACAGAGAGATAAACGCAGTACTAAAGCTGTCATTCTCAACATCCACATGAATATTAAAATCCCCTACAATAATAACTTTGTCCGTTTTAAGGACTAAAGTTGACAAAAACTCTGCAAATTCAGATAAGAATTCAGAGTGCGGACCAGGTGCTCGGTACACTATAACAAAGAGAATTGGTTGCAGTGATTTCCAACTTGGGTGCGAAAGACTAAGAACAAGACTTTCAAATGAGTTATAGTTTAGTTTAGGTTTAGAGCTGATTAGTAGGCTAGAGTCGAAGATAGCTGAAACTCCACCTCCTCGGCCTGTGCCTCGAGGAATGTGAGTATTAATATGACTGGGAGGGGTGGATTCATTTAGGCTAACATATTCTCCATCACCCAGCCAGGTTTCAGTAAGACCAAATAAATCAATATCATAATCTGATATTAGTTCATTTACTAGTACACCTTTAGAAGAGAGAGATCTGATGTTTAAGAGTCCACATTTAACTCTCCTATTCATTTGCACTATTGCTCTTGTGGTTTTAATTTTTATGAGGTTTTTATGCACAGCTCCTCTTCTGTTTACCTTTTTAAATAATTTCGATGGTCGGGGGACAGACACCATCACTATAGGATTTTCACTAAGTAACTCCTGAAATGGAGGAGCAGAGAAGTGTGTTAGACTGCGACTCTGCGTAGGGTTTTGGGTGGGTAACTGCTGAAAAAGAAGGGCAGAGAAGTGTGTTAAACCGCGACTCTGCGTAGGGTTTTGGGTGGGTAACTGCTGAAAAAGAAGGGCAGAGAAGTGTGTTAAACTGCGACTCTGCGTAGGGTTTTGGGTGGGTAACTGCTGAATTAGAAGGGCAGAGAAGTGTGTTAAACTGTGACTCTGCCTCCTGGTCTCAACTCTGGGTTGTCATGGATTTGGTCCACTAATAAACTTGGCCAGATTTCTAGAAATGAGAGCTGCTCCTTCCCAAGTGGGATGGATGCCGTCTCTCCGGATCAGACCAGGTCTTCCCCAGAAAGTCTGCCAATGATCTACAAAGCCCACATCGTTTGCTGGACACCACCTCGACAACCAGCGGCGGAATGACGACATGCGGCTATACATGTCATCACTGGTCAGATTTGGCAGGGATCCAGAGAAAACTACGGTGTCCGACATTGTTTTTGCATATGTACACACCGACTCAACATTAATCTTAGTGACCTCCGATTGGCGTAACCGGGAGTCATTACCGCCGACGTGAATAACAATCTTACTGTATTTAAGTTTATCCTTAGCCAGCAGTTTCAAATAAGACTCAATGTCGCCCGCTCTGGCCCCAGGGATGCACTTAACTATGGCCGCTGGCTTCGCTAACTTCACGTTTCTCAAAATGGAGCTGCCAATGATCAGAGTTGGTTTCTCAGCGGGTGTGTCGCTGAGTGGGGAAAATCTGTTAGAAACGTGAACAGGTTGATGATGCCCCGTGGACTTTGAATGCTTATGACTATTCCTCCTTCGGACAGTCACCCAGCCCCCCTTTCCTGGCTGCACAGGGGATGGGAGGACGGCTACCAGAGGCTAACTCAGGCCGTTCCGCACCGACTACCGGGGACTGGCTAGCTACAGTAGCTAAAGACTGATCTACCAAGGTGCGGAGCCGGACTTCTAAATCACTGAGCCTCCATGTCTATAAATAAACTACACTTATTACATGTACCATTACCGCTAAAGGAGGCAGAGGAGTAACTGAACATCTGACACACCGAGCAGGAGAAAGTAGGAGAGAGAGAGGGAGAAGGAGAAGCCATCGCTAGCTGCTAAGCTAAAGTCGCTAACGGCTAAGCTAAAGTACTGTAGCGTCAGCTACCAAAACTTTAGAACAAGTATGAGATTGAACAGCAGTCACTGAAAGATGGAAAGAACTGTGAGTGCTTAGGCAAAATTACTGTGAAGAATAAGTGTTTAGCGAACAGTTGGCCGCTGTAATCAAACAAATGTAACTGTTATTTAGCGAGAGCAGCACGACACGGTACCAACACACAAGCACCGGAAACGGAAATGAGTCGACACGCTTACCGCAATACGTCAGCCAACTTGTCTGCTCTTACAAAGTTACAAAGGTTATTCTCCCATTCAGCACCACGTATCTGTCTGAGACCGTCTTCAGCGCCTTGTAACCATAAACACAAAGGCCCGTAACAGGCTGAGGAGGACTTTAGGCTGAGGAGGACTTTAGGCTGAGGAGGACTTTAGGCTGAGGAGGACTTTAGGCTGGCTGTCACTAGCATCATACCTGAAATTCCATTTCTCCCTCAGGTAAGTAAAACAGGCTGGGGATGTTAAAATATTTCCTGGTTACCAGTCACGGGATCCCACGCCCAGCCCATCTCTCCCATATTCAACTACAAATACCACCACGTTAGTTCAGCCACGCCAAAGATTTAGGACCAATACACCTGAAGTACCGGATTCTGCTCTAATAACGTAGGACGATTAACGGTGGGTGGATCTCAGAATTAACTGCTTTTATTAAATTAACTTTTTACTTTAAATTTATGTGATTAAAACGTTGATTTGTCTTCACTGGCGCTTCTCAGCAGCGAGCTTTCGTGTGTATGCAGTTATACCGTCAGTGGGCACTGCTCCGTGGGAATAACGTTAACACTTCATATAAAAAACTGGCTGCTTGGAAAAAAAATAAGAGAGGAAGCTGGTAAGTTCAGAAATTGCGTGTCTGTTATTTGATTCCAGCTGTCGATTTTGCCCTTTACTGTGAAAGAAGTTAGTTAGCATAACACAGGCCTGCTCGAGCCGAACTCCGTTCAGAAAACACACATTTTAAAAGTTATCGTCTTATAATCTTGCTGTCAGACCTGGAAAAAGCACGGATTCATGTGTTTAACTAACCGGCATCATGATGTCGTTATTTCGGCATCAGTTTGATCACAGCAAACTGTTTATTTAGGGTTCACACAGCTGTAGAGAACCGGGTTGTGCAGTCTATGGTTGTATGAGGACACTCGGCCAGTTGAGGTCATAATAATTTTTTACCAGGCTCACCCTGAACCGAGTCTCTGTAGACTCTGCAGAGTTTGTCTAATAAATAAAAGTCCAAGAGTCTCTGAATCAAGTCAGGTTTTTGACTTTAGAAGCGGAAACGCTCACCTGCGAAGTCTTTTCTCCGGGTTTGGATCCTTCAGGGTTTGTAGGACTTAGTATTTCAGACGGAGGCCCTTCTCTACGGATCCACATACTCATCACAGGAGGACTGAGACACGGTGACTCTGCAGCCTCGGTCATGTGTTTAAAATAATCCCGCAGTTCTTCACCTCTTTGTGATATATAGTGCTGCTGCTACTTTTGCTTCTGCTGCTTCTTCTTTTGCTTCTTCTGCTGCTTCTGCTTCTGCTTCTTCTTCTGGCTTTCCGGCAGACTGGATGCCTTACGCCGTAGTGCTGCCTCTCACAGTTCAGTCTCAGTATCGTTTTATGGCGTCCCCATTCTCAGAGAGGTAACCCTGTTGCAGATATAAAGTCCATGATTGCTTCCACGATCCTCGACTGGTTCTCATGTCTCTCAGGGTCACTGTCTGTAGTTTAACAGTCTGTTGTTGTTTGCAGGTTCTACAGAGTCCGTGCTGCCCCGTCTGCCACCTCGTTCTCTTCCACCCCAACATGTGCAGGCACCCAAAGAAACTCCACTGACCCTCCAGCCTGTTCGACTCTATGCAACAGAACCATCAGCTCTACAAACAGGTCTGGCCGTGCTCCCCGATTGCTTCCTCTTCCACTGTAGTGCCCATGTAATAGCTAAAATCTCTGTTGTATACACCGATACCCTCTCAGACAGTCGCCTGAGCTTTACAAATTCATATTGTGGGATATAAAGTTTGCGGATCTTGGGATCCACCTGTATAGATCTGTGGATAAGACCCCCAGTGATTTTACAGTCTTTGTTTTACCATATGTGTATATAGCTTGGTGTTTTCTGTTTACTGAAGTCTATTTCTGCTGTGGGCAACTGACCAGTGAACTTGCGGGGCCACCCCCTGCCTCCCTCAGTCCCAGTTCCTCCACCTTTCTACTGATGTTAAATATAAAACATTCCTTCCACTCCCATGCATTAAGTAGTACTGTTTTTGTCCGGTCTAGACCTTACATTGCCCTGTAGATCATCAGTTGAGTATCTCTGCCTGCACCCCATGTTCTACCGGAGAGGGAACACACTTACTCACTTTTTCACACTCAGTCTGGATCTATAGAAAGACTCCCGTGTCCAAGGTACATGTGGTGAACAACTTAAAGTCCTGACCCTTCTGGACATATGTTAAAGCATCACACACTTACTTTCCGGTGGCCCCGTACCCAAGAGGCTGGAGGCCCCTAGTGAGATGAGTTACATGGCAGTGTTTTCTTGAAATTACAATACTCCCTTTTAGCATTTTATGCTAACACAACATAATGAGAATATAAACACTTCATGTAACTTCAGCAGTACTTGAAGAGAAGGTGATTATGTAAAAATATAAGGCGTAAAAATACAACGTAAGGAATATAAAAATTAGAGACAAACACTTGTAATTATGCAAAATGTGAAATTTCATTACATTTGCAAAGACTAATGGTTCAAAAATTACAATTTCAAAAATAACTAAGACACTAGGAAATGATTGAGATTAAACTTCACTTTCACTTGCTGTAACCGTCTGCTTACATGAAGACGTTCCCAGGAAACCATCTCTTGGTGTGAGACATTGTCTGGTGAGACGCTCCTCGCCAGTCCAGGCTGTTGGATTCGTTATCACGATGGGCTTGTAGATTTTCTGCTCCGTTCTGAGACGTGTTCCAGAATCGGGTTGTGGAGCTCAGCTGCAATCAGGAGTCTGCGCAGGATGTTTTATTCTCTGTCCCGTTTCTGTGTCTGACGCTCTTCTTGTTTTAAACAGTTTCAGGGTCCGACTCCTCCCTTCGTGCTCGCAGGCTGCCTGCTGGTGAAAGAGGCGGAGGCAGCGGAGCAGCAGCATCATGAAGATCTTCAGCATCATGGAGATCTTTGTGCTCCTGCTGGTCCTTCTGTCTGCACCAGTTTCAGGTAAAGACGAGCTTTTATTGTGACTCATTCATGTAGAGAGGAAAGACTTTGGAGCAAAGTTAGAAAATAACTTTGGAGAGATTTCTCCACAGTGAAGAGAGGAGGAGATGTCTGAGTGTTTCTGTTTCCTAAAGTCAGTGATGGTTCACTGGGAGCTGGTTCATTCTCAGGCAGATAGGTTGTTATTATTATAGGTAATTAAGTCAATATTATGTATTTAATAATTTTTCGGGTCATTTTTTCCACAGACACATGGGCAAAGTCAAGAGGGAATAATGGTAAGTAAAAAAAATGCTGTCTTTAATGTGTGCAGATGTAACTCGTCCTTCATTCCAACAAGAAACTGCAAGAACTCTTTTTTTATTAAACTATTCCACTTAACAAAAAACAAAACAGGAAACACAGCAAACAGCACAGTCCATGGCAACTTGTCTCAGATCTCACCGGAAACACTAAAATAATGAGGTCATTTCAAAGTTTTTGGTAGAGATGATTTGTTTTGTGTACGTCTATGCAACACGGAGCTGAACAGAGTGAATATTGGTTCTACATTTAAAAATATGCTGTTCTTAAAAGCAATTTCAAGCCTGTTTTGGGGTTATGGCTACTAGATAAAGGATTTATCTTGTGTCTTGTTTCAGAAAAGTTAATTTGCGACCGGAAGCACGAAGCAGCAGTCGGAGACAATGTGACTTTGGACTTCCACTTTAAACCCGAGTGTGATGTGACGAGGGAACTAGTCGAGTGGAGATTCAGAAGCTCTGCTCTTGTCCTCGTTTACAGAAGCCAAGGTTTTTCTCCCAACAATCAGGAAAAACAGTTCAGTGGCAGAGCGTCTCTTGACGACAGCGGCGATCTATCCAAAGGAAAACTTCCAGTAAAGATTTTATCGGTTAGCAAAGAAGATGCTGGAATATACAGCTGTTCTATTGGAAAGGGAGAAGACAAAGTTTCCAACAGTATGGAGCTCATTATTTGTAAGTAGTGCAGTGTAACTCGTATGACTGCTTGACATCTATCTGTAAACACAGCAACACCACTGCGAATTCAAAACAGTACTACAGTAACTTTAGTATCCAGCTGCCAGGAAGTTATCGTGAAATTCTCAGTAACCCTTTTACAGTAAATGCACACAAAATCCACAAAACAAAGGATATGCGACTCAAAAGCCAACTACGGGTTTTCTTTCACACTTCCAAAAAGAAAGTTTAGGTTCAGTTCAGGAATAGCAACAAAATAAACCAACGCACCTTCAAGTAAAAGGAAAAAAAAATAGTTTATGCAGTTATGGAGCCAGTCTGAGCACTTCTGAGTGAATATTAATAATAACTTCACATGTTTTCTTGTGCTGAAACAAAGAACACGAGAGAAAAATAAATAAAGTTAAATAAAAACATTTTAAAACAATTTACGGTGCAATAATCACTTACCTCATGTTGAAAGCCAGTTTAAATCATAACAGAGCTGTTCTGAAATCCTTCATGGTCTCGTCTTTTCTGAATACTTAACACCTTTTTGTCTTTTCTCAGCAGCTGATGCAGATCAGCAAGTCAACAACAAATCCCAGAAACTCAATGTAAGTATGTGTGTAATGTGCAAGAATTACACTGAAGGTAAGTACTATTACAGGTTAGGTATCAGAAAGCTAATTGTTCTGATATTTCGGTTAGACCAGTGTGCAGTGAGACAAGCAGACAGTTTTCATAAGACAGACTGCTCATCCAATAAACACTGTGCAGCAGAAGTTGGTGAGGAAAATGGATGCATGTTAACTTAGAAGCCCAGACTGAGAACAGATCTTGACATCTTTGTTCTTTCAGGTCACTTCTTTTGGAGTGGGATTGGTTACATCTACATTCCTGTATTCACTGTGGTAGTGAGGAAAAGACCGGTACGTCACGTGTTCCTCCACCCCTCGCAGACCCTATCATGCGGAAGAAAGTCGCATAATGAAGAACCTCTTGAATACTGCTGCGTTTATATACTGTGTTTATGTTTCTGTGCTGGAGTTCTTTTAAGAACTATGAGGTTTTATCCAGATTATTAAATTTTTTAAATTTTAATAAGAGTGTGTTTATTCATCTAGTGTGTTGAGCTTAATACTTCAATATGTTCTGATGTTAATATATGGGTGTTACTCATGGACGTTGTTAGTGACGTTAGGCTGCTGTATGAATGAGCACTTTAGAGATATAATGAGAGTAATTATAATTATATATACACATATATATGGCTGGTCTGGTAGTATACTCAGGAAAGATTGTGAAAATGGACAGATTTAACCGGAGTAGTGGCTTAATTGAATATTGACAACATATTTCTGTGGTTTTTCCATGGTTTGAATTTGGTCCGTGTTGTTCCATTTAATCTGGCAAACCAAAAACGAAATAATGAATCAATATTTTGTTTTTCTGTATGTACAAAAAATTGAAAACTGATGTTTGTTTCGGTCTGGGTATCTCTGGATAATCCGTAATTCATTTGTAATTATAAAACTAAAATATCATTTATCTGTTTTTTGTTTCAAAACGAAAAACCAAATAACCGTTTTTGGTGTCAGAATCAAAAAACGAAAAACCAATTAAAAACGGCCCGTTTCTCGTTTTTGGCGATTCATTTTATTCTTTCTTTTTGAACAAAGAATGAAGAGGGTCTGAACTTCAGTCAATTCGTTTTTCGTTATAAACCAAAATCTGAAGTCAGGTGATCTATTCCTTTTATGGAAGCGACAGTAACCCGTAAAACCTTAAATAAAATAAAAGTAGCCCATGTACTAAAACTAAACTAAAATAACATTTTTAGTAGGTTATAAAACTAAACTAAATCTGGGTGTGTGGAAAAAAAAAAACAATTTAGCTAACTGAAATTAAAAAAATAACTAATATAATAATACCTGTTGGGGAGAATTAAACATTTGTAAGACCGTTGGTGACCTGTAACTTCAGATTAAGACAAGTGAACTAATGTTATATGTAGCTTAGGACAGCAGTTAGCCTGTTTATTTAAGTTTCTATTATTTAATTCATGTTTTAGTTTTTTAACATATTTACACTGCGGTTTGCAGACTCTCATTAATGCTCACCAGGTTTCACACATTAGTAGGCCTACATAACTTATGAGAACTACAGGCTGCATTCAAATATTTACTTAACTAACAAGTATTTTACACTGGGGAAAATAGCAAAGGAAATTTTACAACTCCACAGATTTGTTTTGGAAGAGTTTTGTTTCAACACATAACAGTAGATGAGAGTTTTTAGCAGCTATAGCAGCACAGAAAGAGAAGCTGGAAGGCAGGTGAAGTTCTGCACACCCTTCAGACTCAGTGATCAGCTTCCTCTGGTAGCAGTGCAGCCTTCTCTGTGATAGAAACACAAGTCAAAAGGTCAAAAGCTTGTTGGCTGTTGGCGCCACAGAAGGGGGCAGAGTGACCTCTGCTGGTGGAGCTCACACACAGCAAGAAGGCCTGTAAATATGTTAAAAAACTAAAACATGAATTAAATAATAGAAACTTAAATAAACAGGCTAACTGCTGTCCTAAGCTACATATAACATTAGTTCACTTGTCTTAATCTGAAGTTACAGGTCACCAACGGTCTTACAAATGTTTAATTCTCCCCAACAGGTATTATTATATTAGTTATTGTTTTTATTTCAGTTAACTAAAGTGTTTTTGTAATCCAGTTTTAGTTTAGTTTTTACTAAACGTTATTTTAGTTTAGTTTCAGTCTAAAATCACCTTTCTAACCATGTTTGAGAGAGTCCTGTCACATGTGACCTGGACATTAACAGAATCAACACGGTTTTCTATTAACAAACACAAATTCATTTTCATACGGAGCCCTAACAGCCATGTGAGTGATTTGGTCTGGGAAACCGGACGTTGCTGCAAACGGCATTTTAATTTCGTCCTGTTCCAGCAGGGATTGTGGCACTCAGGGACAGCCGTGATGGCGCAGTGGATAAGACGCATGCCTTTAGTGTGAGAGACCAGGGTTCAACCACCACTGTGACCCTGAGAAAGACACTGAACCCCTCGTTGCTCCAGAGGCGTGCGACCTCTGACATGTATAGCAGTTGTAAGTTGCTTTGGATAAAAGCGTCAAATGTACCAGGAGATCTAACAGAATTATATCCAGAGAAGGCCTCAGAGATAAAGATTTCTATAAAACATTTACCTCCTGGTTGCCATGAACCCCAGAGTGGTGAGGACCTGTTTGGACCGGGTAATAAAAAAAAACAGACTTAAAAGGGGAATTAATTTATAATTAGGTCATAACTTTAAATGCAAAAAAAAACTATAAGGGTTCAAAACGAAAAGACCAAAAGGGTTAAGTTTTAAAAACAGTTCTTTGAAACAGTTAAAACGTCTAAAAAGAGGTTCACAGGAAAGTTTTAGGACTTCCTCTGCTATATTTCTTTGCTCTTTATTGAATCTTGAATTCTTCTAATAAAGAATCTTCAGCGGAAATAAAAGAACTTAAATGTCAGAACAATAGAAGCTGATCCACCGGGGGGCTGTAACAAAGAGAGGCTATTAAAGCAAAGTGTTTAAATCTTTACACATTTGAACTGTTTTAAGAACTTTACTATTCTTCATTCAATCTAATGTTTGATTTCTGTTTTAAAATGTATCTGTGGTTCCTTTTCAGACCATTTGATATTTTTAATATAAGATAAAGTCAATCAATGTCAATCTTATCATAAAATTATATATTGTCTCTTTTTCATAAATAAAATCTCTGTAGTTTTGTTGGTTACACAATATTTGTTATTGACTGACTGGACAGCAGGAGGAGCTGTGACTGCTGGCAAAGTCTCCTTTATCTGTGAAACCGTTTTAAACTGCGGGTTCACGTTGAACCAGAAGGAATCGCACATTCCTCAGGTGTAACTGGAATTCATTATTTCAAGAGAAATTCTGTATCCGAGAATAAAAGTCCATTTTTATTTAGTCAGTGTGTCACCAACACTTTATCATTTAATGAGTTTGTTTTTAAACCTAATATCTTTATTACACCTCACAGCAAGAAGGTCGTGGGTTCAAACCCCGGTTGCCCCGTGTTCTCCCCGGGTCTGTGTGGGTTCTCTGTCCAGGGATTGGCTCCAGTCCCCCACGACCCTGTACGCAGAATAAGCGTTGACGACGGATGGATGGATCTTTATTATTGCAAATTAAACATTTCTGGGGAGAAAAGTTGTGTTTGGAAATAATGAACCAGGATAATAATAAAACAGAGCAACAGGCATCTGATTTATTTCAAAACTGTCCAGAATAAAGAGACGAATGGCCACTAAAGTTAAAAAGCTAGTTAGTTAGTTATGCATTTTAATAAATTTATGAGAATTGATACCCAATTATGAATTAAAATTCATAAAATAAAAATTTCCTCGTTAAGGGCACCACCGGAGTTGTTATAATCCTAGAGTCTCCGGACCTCTAGGTAGTTTTGAATAATTATACAATTATTACTAGTGATCAGTTAGTTAATAATCGCTCAATTATCTTAAATCAGTCAGTCAGTCTCATATCTAAAGGCTCAATTCTCTTGGCAGGAACTATAAATAGGCAACACACACAGCTCTTGATTATATTACAGTGAATTTATTCTCTAACTAAGGTGATAAAAAGATGGTTGGATACAGGGAACAAACATTTGCTGAACAATGAGCCTGGAGGTTCGATTGTGGGAAGCATTTGACTCATACGGCATAGAAGAGCTAATGAAAGTAAACTAATGCTATGATTTAGGAGTTAAAATGGACATCTGATCACAGAACGTGTGTTAAGTCTTACTGCTTGTCGACAGCCTGCTTTTGGCCTGTTGCACGGGTCCCACTCTAGCTGCCTGATCCTGGCTTTTTGCTAGGGATTCTTCGGGGTTCTCCGTGTCTGATTGAAAACGCCTCCTCCGTCTGGCAATTCGGCTGTTTGCAGGTTTCCTTGGTTGTAGCTGGCGAGACCACGTGGCTTGGTCTGACCTCGGTGAAGTTGGCTCGACGAAAAAGGCTTAAAATGGAACTTGGTCGTTCCTGAATTAGTCCAGTGTAACTTAACGGACTCATAACTTTAACAAACAAAAGAAATAAAGAAAATAAAACAAACTGAAGGCAGATCGATGTCTCACTTCAGGTGTGTAGCTTCAGGCGAACAAAGGCCTGTTTGTTTCGCTGGCTGAGTCTGGGCGTGTTGCCTGGCGAGGCACGCTGTGCGTGCCGAAGCATCCAGAGGGCAGAGTGGAAGAGCGAGAGGAGAGAAGAGACTGGCGAGCAGGTCGCGTGTCGCTCTTTTGTTGCCTGGGGCGTGATTCCCCAGGAACTGCCTTTCTAAACTTAATGTCTAAAGAAAAGAAATCTATTTGCACGTATTATAATCAAATATTTTCCACAATCGAACCTCAATGGTTGAACGGTTGTACTGTTCTAAGCATTTGGTAACAGGAAACAATTGTCACATTATTGGTCAGGATATTTATACATTTAACGGCATTTCCGATGAGGGCATGTAATACTTATTTCGCCCACTTGGGGGAGCTCAGGTTACATGAGGAAAGCTTGGATTAAATCAAAGATCGTCTCTCCTTAGGAACCGGGGGATTTTTTGTTGATTCATCCTTTAATTCAAGCTGGCGATTAAGAGTATAGTAAAACATTTCTTTGTCATCATTTCTAAAGGAATTTTGTAGGAAAGTATTATGAACAACCATTGATTACATCGGATGAAGGAGTGTCTTGCTGAAAATAAAAACATTGCACAAGTAACTTCTTTTCAGCACTAATATCAACAACAGATAGCAACAACAGTTAACATAACTACTCAAATAGAGGCAAACGTATTCAGGCAACTAAAGATTTAATTAAACTTTGAGTCCAGTTCAGTATCTGGAACATGTCACACTTAGGTGAGACAAGGAGTATCCCTTTGATGTGGTAATAAAACAAAGAATGAGGTCAGTTGCCACGGAAACGTGTGTGTGGGGGGGCAGTTTTGATAGGCTGTTCAGGGAGATGCCAATGGCTGGCTCGTGTCCCTTTGTCAGTTTAACAGTCAGGCCCCGCGTTATCAGCTTCGGAATCAAAAAGGTGCCAGTTTTATGGTCGGGCTAGCACTTAGAGAAAGCAACTTTGACCCCTCCCCTTCTTCTCTGGGGAGGAGAAAGGAATTTAGGGTAGCTCCACATTTATTCCATGTAAAAAGCACAAATCCACACCGTTGTTCACTACAGAATGATGACATTTATTGTGATGTGTGCCTATAAATTACATTTATTCATTTAGCTGATTTGCTATACATGTCAGAGGTCGCACACCATCCCCATCTGCCATAAATAATTGCACCTCTTTATCTTCTATTAAAAATAATAATACCAATCATATCACATATCAACATCTCTGGCTTCAACAGGTGGTATTTTACTCTCTGTCGGTATCAGTATCACTGTCAGGGTTCAGGTTTTGGTTCTGGTATCGTAACAGTTTAATTAAATGATACCCAGCTCTAAAGTGAGTAACGTTACGGACAGCTTTGTTCCTCAGGAGTTTAACTCCAACAGCACGCCAGCGTACCAACAGAAAAACAAAACCCCGGGTTTTATTATGTCTTAGTGGGGTATTGCAATAAATACTTGTGGAAGGCCCTGAATGATGATGTTTTTGACGCCTCACGAAGCAGTTTAACGTCACTTCCTGTGTAACCTGTGTGGAAAGATAGAGGTGCGTCCTCCCCCTAAAGTCTTTGAGCAGTAAACTTAATTTATGCACAAATTTATATGAAGGTAAACAAAATGAAGGTGTATATAACAGAATATAATGCAGGAATGAGCAGCTTGTTGTTTTAACTTAAGTAACTTTTTGGGACAAAGCACATTTGTTTCTTATTTCAGTTGCATTGCATATTTCCTTCTTGTTTCATTTGTTATTTAACATTTCTAGCTGCTGTTTTTCCAGAACGTTTTTAAAAAAAGCTTTCAAAAAGTGATGGAGACATTCTGATTCTGACCTGTCCCCAGCGTCCCCAGTGAAAATGACACCTATCTGTCAATACTTTTAAATCCCGCCCCATCCAGGCTGTGGACATTGACTCTTATCAAACATGTAAAGTCTGGTGCAGATGTGACCATGTACTCTGAAGTTACAACAACTTCCTGTTTCATGGCGAATCATCGATTTTCGCCGCCATGCCACGGCCACGCCCTTCGATGAAAACTCACAAATAACACAACTTTTCATCGTCAGTGCCTTTAGACAGAACAGCAAAAATTTGAAGTCAATCAGATTAATTCTGTAGGAGGAGTTGGTTAAAGTACGGAGCCTGTAACTGGCAAAAAAATGACCATTAAATCCAAAATGGCCGACTCCCTGTTGCTGTACATTTCGGTGAAACGTGGCCCCGGGGCTGCTGGTGAGACATCCTGCCACGCTGTGAAAAAACATGTCATGAAATTTTTTTTTTTGTGCAAAGTTTGGTGAGTTTTTTAGCAGGTTTAAGAAACCAAAAATGCTCTTCATCTGCAGAAAGAAAGAAGGACAGATAAAATAAAAGGCAGGACTTGGTGTTCTGTCCATGAAGACCATCGTGTCCCTGCATCAGGACACCTGAGGGCTGATCTAAGGACAGTATCATCGTTACATCAGGGACACGTTCCACAGACAGTGAAGAGCGGCTGCTCTGTCTGCGTAGGTTTCCTCTCTCAGTCCTAAGACAACGTTCATCATCAAGCTTCCTGCTGACTGCTTGATGGAAAACCACAACAATACGAGTAGAACAGAAAGAGGAAGGAGGTGGGTTTTACTTGGTGTAACTGGTAAACGTTGGTCTCAGATGACCAAGAATTAAAATGGAGGAACCATCTCTGCCGTTGCTGCTGGGTCAGTAAAAATCTACTCTATCTGTGATAAAGTACCAACAGAACAATAACACGTTCATTACAGCAAGAGTTCATTTAAATTGTTAACAGTGCGAAGTTATTTGAACTGTAGAAAAGTTTTAAAGTTTAACCTTCAGGTCGTTTCTGTACTTCAACAGCTCCTCTGATTTTCCCTCCTGCTGTCCTGGCAAGGGTTTTTTTAGAAAACTTTGAATGTGTCCTAAATAAATATAATTTATTTCCATCTCTCAGATCCGCGTGTGGCTGCGCTCTCTCTCTGTGATCTTTAAGGTTTAGCTGTGAAGCTTTAAGGTTTTCATGTGTTTTAAGAACTGCAGGTGTCTCGTTGCTTTTAAAACTTCAAACCAAACGTGTGATTTCTCTTCAGTTCTGACTTCACTGCTGAGCTGCACAACCAACCAAGGTGAGCGAACGTCCATCTTCACAGTGTTCTTGTTGTACTTCTCCATTAAGTATTTTACGGACTCTTCTTTTATGTCTGATATGATTAAGATCTAAAGGTCCAACTTTATGTTAGGTCTACTGTAATAAAAACATTTGGAGCCGGGAGGAATAATCTGAGAGAAAACTCTGAATTTTGTCTTGAATAATCTCTAAAATTATGGTCAAACATTTATGAGCGAAACTCTCTGAAAAACTGTTTTTATTTTTAAATGAACCGCATCGCTTCACTTCACCTCTGCTGTGTTTTACGCACGCAGTGGAAAATTATTCTGCGCACTCGGATTCAGTCAGCAAAGAGGAAATAATCCTGATTTCAAACACCAGATTGTCATTCAGAAGTGATGTGGAGTATATTTATTATTAGCCCCAGCCGGCTTTGGACAACGTGAATTAGTCGGTCTAAATATGTGAACAGATGGGCTACATCTCAGAAACTGACCCGTTAATGAATTCAGATCTGCTCCCTGAATCACAGCTCGGCTGCAGGGCGGCTGTCTGAACGTGATGCTGCTGTGTTAAAACTTCATGTCAGCTGCAGCCCAGAGGAACAAGTCAGGAAATATTTGACCAGGTGGTGTTTATTAATACGTCTCATTACCACAGAGAGCAGTTGTGGTGGGTAGCCCACAGCGTAACCTCGAGTTAACCACAAAGATAACTAGCTTGCAGCAGTTTAGAGATGCAGCTTAAACCACTCTGACAGCGGACCTCGGGTAAAACCTGTCCCCCTTTCATAGTACGGGTTCGTCAGGATGTTACACCTGAAGTTACCTGCATAAGACAGGTACCTGCTTGGTAGTTCAGGCCTCTGTTCTGCACAGCATGATGCAGCAGCTACCAGAGGAGCGGAAACAGAATGAAATATAATCCAGCCTCCTGTAGCCAGATCTTTGAAAACATTTGTTTAATTTAACATTCGTTTAATTCAGAGTTCTGAAACTGGACATCAGTTCAGCAGAAGCGACAGTTTGAAAGTAGAAATGTGGAGAGAATAGATGAACATGTTCTCTGTAACCACGTCTCCTCCTCCCATCAGCCTCTCTGACTGCGAGTCCCAGCAGCTCTCAGCTGTTCAGAGGAAACTCTGTCTCTCTGAGCTGTGAGGACGGCGGCGGCGCTGCTGGATGGACGCTGAAGAGGAACTCAAGTGAAGGAGGACGGTCTCAGTGTGGAACTTACTGGGGAAGACCAGAGGGCTCCACCTGTCACATCAGCTTCATCCTCACATCGGACAGCGGAGTGTACTGGTGCGAGTCCAGCGACGGAGAAACCAGTAACACCGTCAACATCACCGTCACCGGTAAAGTCAGACAGGATTAACAGGCCTGATGAGGGGCAACGACGCACACTGAGTCAGTCATACTCACCGTTTCACTTTGGAGAAATCAAAACCAAGATTTAATGAGAAAAGACGAAGCTAACAAACACTGGGAGGATAGACCGCGTTCAGTCAGGCCAAACATTCAGATGGCAGCGTTCACTGAGAGTCTGGAGGCTCAGAAGAGGAGGAGAACTAAAGCTGAGACTGAGGCCCCGCCCACACCGCTGAGACCTTTTGCCGCGTTTGCTCCCCTCGACCTGACTAAAACGGCAAAAAACGCTGCCGACCCCGTTTTACGTTTTGAAACTCCGGAGGGCGTTTTAGCAAAGCAGAAACACGATGCTGCTGACAGAGTTTTAGATTCGGTATTTTTATTAAAATATAATAACAAATATCTGCCTACACTCGTACTGCGCATGTCGCCGTTTCCTTTCTGCCGTCACAGTACTGTGTTCCATACAGTAACAGTCCCTGCTCCTTATTGGTGCATGCAAATAAAAACAAACCTCTTCGTCTGTAATTGTTTATTCTTTCGCCAACTCTGTAACTAGGAAGAGACCGTCTGCTTCCTGTTTACACCCACACCCTGCGCACTTATACAGCCAGTGGCGGTGCGTTTTCAGTCGTTTTAATGTAGACGGGGCTCAACTTTTAATTATCCGTTTGTAAACTAAAACGAAGCAGCGGGCCTGAGACAGATCTCAGCGCTGACGGCAGGAGAGCAGACAGTTTGACCGCCTCCTGCTATATTTGGATAAGATATTTATTGTAAGAGAGTAAAGCAGAATGAACAACAGAAATGGGCCAATGGGTTCTGTGGAAATCAAAAAAGGAATATAACCAGTAGAGACCCTCAAAAGGAGGATTACTAGTCGAACTACTCGGAAAAATAAAAAGGTCAAAGTTTTTAAAACTGAAACCCAGAGCGCTCAGCAGCCTTTAACCCAGTGTTTCTAGATAAGAGAGAAAACTACTGTGTGCAAAGGGTGTCAGCGTTGAGACTCAAACTCTAGCCCACCTCCACACATTTACACTGATAACAAACCAGCCCGCCTACAGAAAGGTCGAAACCACAAGAGCCCAGAACGCTCGGAGCAAGATCCAGCAGCGTGAGAAACACAAATGGGCGAGCTATTCCAGGGGCGAGTTCAATCTCAAGATGGTGATGGCACGCCGCACCAACCAGAGTCACCGTCATAGGGAAAACAGGAAAAAAGCAACATGTGACCTCTTTAATGTTTTAGCCACAATCTGTAGCACTTTTTTGTGAACATGAACTTAAAGTAGAGCTGAGTCTTACTGTGTTCGTACGACAAACAGCAAGTTCACACACACTCACGTCATCCTCACAGACACGATGGCAGATGTGTTGTCAGAGTGATCCAGATGTTATTTTCGCTCCTGTTTTGTCTCTTTAAGTTCAGCTTGGTGTTGAGATTTTAGAATTACACTCACACTTCAAAGGTTCTGGGCAGAACAATCTAATTAAATCAAAATTAATCCTGAATCAATTATTGTAAACTGAATGAATTAAGGTACAATTAGATCAACCTGTTCTCACTCCCAGGTCGTCACATATGGACGAATCAGACGATGCAAAAGCAATTTATGGTAAAGTTATGGTCTTGACTGGTCAAGACCATAACTTTGGAATATCAATAAATCGCTTTTGCATCGTCCGTTTTATTTGTCAACATCCGAACTTTGCTTGGATGTAAAACGTGTTGCTTCACATGCAACAAAGAACCCTAATTAAACATGTGTTGTTCCCGTTAATGACTGCCCCCCCTCCCCCCGATGGTCAGCGTGGAAAAGGAGCGTTGAATAAAGATGCTTATGCTGATTTCAGCTCTTAGTGTTTGTTTGTGGGTGTTTTAATGGGAATGTGGATCTTTCAGATCAGTCTGAGAAGTACCTGTGATCTCGTTCCACATTTTATTGTGTGTCATGTAATGTGGGGAACTGGTCTTGGTCTCGATAAATTCTGGTCTTGGTCTTGACTTGGTCTCGGTTTGGGCGATCTCGATTACAACACTAGTACCCGGGGCGTTACAAAGCGACGACAAGGGGTGTGACCAAACGTCTGTATGTGACGAGCTGGGCGTGAGAATGTGTTGATTAGACTTGTACTGATCTGTAGATTACTGCTGCAGTAATATACGGTTCTCCTGCCCCCCCTAACTCCCCTCACATCAGTAACAGCAACAATAAAACTGAAATCGACTGTACAACAGAAGTTCTGGCTCCCCTGTGTGGGTGTGAATGGATGTTTGTGTCTGTGTTGAGGTGGACCGGTGATCCTGCAGAGTCCAGTCCTCCCTGTGATGGAGGGGGACAACGTCACTCTGCACTGTGGAACCAGGACCCCTCCCTCCGACCTGCCAGCTGCTTTCTACAAAGACGGCTCCCTCATCAGGACTGAGTCTACAGGTCACATGACCATCCGCCACGTCTCCAGGGCTGACGAAGGCCTCTACAGGTGTGACATCAGCGGTCAGGGAGCGTCTCCGCCCAGCTGGATCTCTGTCACAGGTGAGGAGGACACGTTTGATTTCAGGACTTACTTCCTCCAGAGGTTCACGTGACCAGGTGGGATTCTCTACACAGGGAAACCTACAACCTCAGCCACGCCCACCTCTGCAGCCCCGCCCCCTCCCTCAGCCCAGCTCCACCTGATGTTCTCCCCTGTCTGCCACCTGATGGTGATCTGTCTGTACTGCATCTCCACCGTCCTCATGGTGTCTTTATATCGACACAGGCCCGCAGGTAACTGAGACGTCCGCTGTCCTTACAATCGCTCAGTCAATCAATCAATCAATCGATCAGTCAGTCAATCAATCAATCAATCAATCAATCGATCAGTCAGTCAATCGATCAGTCAGTCAGTCAGTGGTGTTGATGACTGACAGTTTGTTTTCTTTCTAACCAGCTCGGACTGCAGGAAATTATGTGCCTGTCTCCATAGTGATGACCCCGCCCACCCAGGCTGAGCAGCGACTGGATGAGGACCACGCTGATGTCATCACTGCCGTCACTACAGAACATCACTTCTGAGCTGATCCGGTGCGTTCGATGTCTTCTCGTTCTTAAAGGAAGCTGAAGTGTTCGAGTCATCAGCTGATAAACCATCACAAACCTCAGAGGACCCAGAACGCTTCCCTGAGGGACTCCTCCTGTTGGAGGTGATGTTGAAGTCAGACTTCAGCTGCAGCGACAGGCTCAGCTCTGACCTGATACTGAGAGCAGCTCTGAGAGAGCAGGGATCAGGTTTAGTGAAGCCTGATCACGCTGACTCAGCTGGACTGGATACAGGGCTCCTGGACAAACGGACAGAGCTGGCGACATGTTTTTGGTCCAAATGAAACTGATCGTTATAAAGTTCTGGTCTGAGTTGTTGTTGTTGTTCATGTTTGTTTGGTTAAAATGTTTTAGAACATGGCAACGCTTTGACTTTATTATTTATTACTTTTAACAACCAGTTCTCGCTCCCAAGTCGTCACATATGGATGCATGGTCAAGTCCGGTTGGCCCCTTAGCGCCCTTAGAGCCCCTTAGCACCTGGGGGAAGCCCCATAGCGTCGTTTTTTTAACGCTAAAGGCAGGTGTATAATGCATGACAGTAAGACAGTCTGAGTAAGGAGGTGCTTACTCACGGAAGAGATGTTATTTTAAGCCAAACCATGATGCCTTACACGTAACCAAATCACAATGTTAACTAGCACTTTTATTTTGAAAGTCTAACCAGACGTTGCATATTTACTGTTGGTAACTTGACCGTAGAGCCTTTAACGTCGAAAACGAAGCTAAAGAGATCAGGGTGTTAAAAAGCAACGCCAAGGCGTCTGACCAAACGTCCACATGTAGCGAGTTGGCAACCACTAATTAAAGACATCTGTGTGGGTCATGCATTAAAAGTGTTAGAGCGTTATATCTCCTCTGAGACGTAGCTTATTTTATTTTACACTCACATGAATCATCTTATTAATGATATGAAATAAACACGTTTTGCAAAGAAATGTCTCATTTTCTGAAAAGTTTTGAGTTTAACTGACAACATTTTTCATTATTCTCATTGTTTTAAAGACTTTAGTGAGAAAATCTTCTCTGATCACTGAGGACGGTGAGCTGAAGGCGACAGAAGTAGAAACTAATCATCGTGCGTCACTTCATCGTTCTTTGGCAAAATGTTAAAACACAAACTTCTCTGTTAAAAAGAAAAAGAAGAACTCAGAAGCAGCTGTGGGAACGTTTAGAGTCACGTGAGAGGGATGTTCTCTACAGCACCAGGCGTTAAACATGACCGCTCAGTGCTCAGCCAATCAAATCACAGCTAGTGACTGGTGCCGTTGATATCTGGTCTCGCCATGGTGTCCCAGATCCAGTTCAGGAAGTTCCCCAGTCGGGTATAAACTCCGTACTTCCCCTTTTCGGCGCATTTCTCCCCCCAGCTGACCACCCCGGTCAGGAACCAGGTATCTCTGTAGTTCACCACGAAGGGCCCTCCGCTGTCCCCGCTGCAGGCGTCGATGCTGGCCTCCAGGTAACCTGCGCAGAACATGTTGTCTGTGATCACCTGCAGGGCGAGACGACACGTCAGAGACGGGCATCACTTGGTAATCCTCAATTTCCAAATGTTTTCATATTTCTGGGCATTTTAACATTTTCCTGACTAACGTTTGGGCAGAGAAGAAGACCGTTTATGTAACCAGCTACTTGATTACACTGACAAAAAGTTTTACATGCAGAACAAGTTTTACTATTTGATACCTGTATGTATTGTTTTAATTTCATACTTTGCCTTTTAGTTTATGCTTTACCATTTACAGTGTGAGCTTCCTGTTGTCATTCGGCTGCTACTCGTGAAGTCGGGGTACAAATTTTTTTTCCCGAGTTCACAAGTAGGAAATGCGACTTCAGGTGGCGTTCATGGTACTTTTTCTAGTTGGAGGTCGGAAATTCCTGAGTTCCGAGTTGCCTGGAAGGCAGCATTAGATCAGGGGTGTGACGATACGCTTAGCTCACAAGACGTGACGATGCAAAATTCTGGGTTCATGAGAAAGTGATGAGAAAATATTTGAACACGATTTTGAAGAAATATTCAGTGCTGAATGTCGTGTTGGAATTCTTCATTCTGGAGAATTTTTCTGCACCGATTTATGCTAAAAAATGACTTTATTTATGTAAAAGAAAAAAGTTCAGGTGAGAAATTAAAAATAAAAGCATATAACAGAATAGGATGCAACAATCAGCCGCTTGAGCCATTTAAAAAAGTGGTGTGGACATGTCCCCAGCGTCCCCCAGTGTAAAAGACATCTTTGCACATGATGGTCTTTAAAGGCCGATTACAAAAAGAAACCAGCAGAACCTTAATGCAGAGAAACTGGAGATTTGAATAAATAAACGAATTGTGAAATGTTTGTATTAAATAAGAACCGAACACACAATCCGTCGCTCAGCTGTCGTCAGCGCCTCCTGCAGGTGGAGCAGCTGAGTGAACATGCGGATCTGATCACCTGTTCAGTGGATGCGGTGCAGTCTCGGAAGCGGATCACAGGGAGCGCCACCTTCCTGAGGAAGCGGGAGGATCTGCCCAGGTACTGAGTGGCCCCCCAGCCCGTCACCACGCCCCGGTTACCCTCCTGAACACACAAACACAAACTGTCAGCTCTGATCTCAGGTCCGTCCTGAACAGAATCAGCGTTATGAATAAAGTTACCTGCAGCAGGTAGCTGGAGAGGTGGGGGTCGGGGAGGCAAACGGGGATGGCGGTGGGGCCCCTGACGACGGGCTGAGCGAGGTACAGCAGAGCGATGTCGCTGTCGAAGGTGAAGGAGTGGAAGTGAGGGTGAACGAAGACCTTCTGGACCTTTATCAACTGCTCACCTGGATCAGGACGCTGCTTATCAAAGTCTCCTGCACACAGAGAGAGAGAGGGGGGTCAGGGCCCGGGACATGATCCTGTACAGCACCAGCCGGAACGGCCTGCTGCTTGTTAGGGTCTCCTTACAGACTGAACTCAGAGGTCTCTCAGGTCTGCTACTCGCTGGGAGGAACTAAATCCTGTCTGATGCTGGTTTCTGTAACGACACTGACGCAGCTCAGAGCTAAAGACGTAGAAATACTCTGTTCTGTCCAGCCCGGGTTACTTTAGTAAAAGTTCAAATGTATTAGCATCAAAATATACTTACAGTACCAAAAGTACAAGTACTCATTTCAGATAATATTACTGGATCACACTTGTTGTTGCAGCTTCACCTGGAATAACACATCATCATTTACCAGCTGGGTAAACTGAGTTAATAATCTGAATCTGCAAAGTCTCAAGCAAAAACATTTCTGTCTGAAATGTGTAGAAGTAGAAAGAAAATGGAAATACTGAAGTTAAAAAACAAGAACCAAAACATTTCAGTATTTGCACACGAGTACAGTAATTACTTTCCACCACTGCTGATTGGTGAATTCGACTCCATCCTCAACGTCTCTATTTCAATTCCTCATCTGAGGAGCTCAAGAAACGAGGAAGAGGAAGCCCGTTAGCAGAATAGAAAGCACCTGCAGAAGGACTGTCCTGGTGTTGTCAGGTAGTTTACAGAAGCAGGACACGTCCTCACCTATGTTAACGTGGTCTGCAGTCTCCTCGAAGCAGTGAGCAGCAGTGACCACCCAACGGTCAGAGACCAGAGTCCCCCCACAGAAACCATAACCATCAGACCTGCAGATCCGAACCTGAACACACACAACAGATAAACAACGAGCTGAAAGTCACTATGAAGCTGCAGATTCACCAGCAGAGACTCCACCGCTGTTACTTCATACGTCAATACCATAAAAACATCTTTAGATTAATGCTTTTTAATTCACCTGCCACGGACTCCCTCCTGGTTTCTCCAGGACTCCGCCCACGATGCGAGGTGTCACCTCCTCCATCAGCTCGGTCTTATTCCTTCCTCTCCGTCCAGGCGTTGCGTTTGCTGTCACCACCTCTTCTTCTGTCTCTGTTAAGTTGAGTATAGGCTCCCAGCTGTCTGTGCTGTTGGCGTCCAACACGGCGTCCGTCTCCGTGGTGGCATTGTCCTGCTCAGAGGGACTCCACAGAGAGCGACCTTGGTACAGAAACTCACTCTGCTGACGACCGCAGGGGAACGACACTGGACAGGAAGAAGGAAAGATCTTAACACCTCGACTGTACACAGGAAGCCTCACAGTTCAGACTGACTTTTATTCTAGCGTTATGTCTTGTCTTGGTCTCTCATCCAGCAGGGAGTCCCAGCTATTTAACCTCTGTTGGGGTCGTTATCAAGGTGATGACACGTTTGTCGCAAAAGAGGTCAAATGTGAGTGTTTGTTCACAGCATTGTAGGTGGGGGATAAGTGGTGTCTCCTCCTCCCCTGTTTAGAGACGGTTTCTCTATTTTGGTGTAAATGGCTTCTTGGACTCCTCTTTCAAACCACCTGTCCTACCAACAAGTGTCCATGCACAAGAAAAGGAGCATTATCACCTGAAGGGGGCACTTACGGCCTGCGGATACCCTAAACGGACCTTTGCGAAAACAGCCGCAGGATCCAGGAAGAACACCAACACTACGGGGGATGAAGGAAAGAAAATCAAACGCAACAACACTGTGATTCCAATACGTGTCTGCAGTCTCAGAGAAACTCTGGAGGATTTTCAACAAACATCACATCCACGGGTTTTTTAAATCCAGGGACACGCTAAGACAGATACCGGTCCAACCCCGAAGACCCAAACACAAGAAAAGTAAGGTACACAAACGCATGGCTCAACACAGAAAGGCCAACTCCTCAGGTCAAGACTCAGCAGTTTACTTACATCTACAAGGACAGAGGACACTTTTCAAGTCGGCCTTGACTTTAACCTTCGTTGGATCTTTAAGGACATCAATGTATGATTCTGACCGAGAAGACGGATGGTTGGAAAGAGCAGTTAAAAAAAGACATTTGCACCAGAGAGACCATCTCTCAACAGGGAAGGAGGTCTGAGACACCACTTACACCTACAATGCTCTGCATTCATCTCGTCCCAGGAGGTTGAACAAAAATTTGGCCTCGGTCGTCACCTGGGTAACGCCCCCGCAGAGGTTAAGCAGTCGGGACTCCCTGCAGTCAGTCAGAACCGAAGAAGTACAGTACTATCAGTAGTTGCAGTAGTTATCTTAGTAACACGAGTTCTGTGAGGGGTACCGGTCTGCGAGCATCTGCGTCCATCGGGCTCCAGTTTGTATCCGTCAGCGCAGCCACACTGGACCCCGGCTCCACCCGGCAGGTCTCTGCAGTACTGCAAACAGCCGCCGTTTCTGTAGCGACACTCCAACACCTCTACACACAACACAAACACAAGTACACACAGACCTCAGTCAGCAGATCGAGCCTCCACGCCGAGGAACTGGACTTTTAACAGACTGAATGTTTTCAGTGCTGAGAAATATTTCAAGATAAACACGTAGTACCTCCATGTTGTTTCTCTACCTCAGTGTTCGGGTTCAGGTTCATAATACTGCCGATACTACTGCACCTAATACTGCTGATACTACTGATACTACTCCACATAAAACTGCCAATACTACTGTAATTACTCCACAGAATACTGACGATACTACTCCACAGTATACTGCTGATAATACTGCACATAATACTGCTAATACTATTGTAACTACTCCACAGAATACTGCTAATACTTCTCTAACTAGTCCACAGAATACTGCTGATACTACTCCACAGAATACTGCTGATACTACTCCACATAAAACTGCCAATACTACTCTAATTACTCCACAGAATACTGCCGATACTACTGTAACTACTCCATAGAATACTGCTAATACTTCTCTAACTAGTCCACAGAATACTGCTGATACTACTCCACAGAATACTGCTGATACTACTCCACATAAAACTGCCAATACTACTCTAATTACTCCACAGAATACTGCCGATACTACTGTAACTACTCCATAGAATACTGCTAATACTACTGTAACTACTCCACAGAATACTGCCGATACTACTCCACAGTATACTGCTGATACTACTGTAACTACTCCACAGAATACTGCTGATACTACTCCACAGTATACTGCTGATACTACTGTAACTACTCCACAGAATACTGCCGATACTACTCCACAGTATACTGCTGATACTACTGTAACTACTCCACATAAAACTGCCAATACTACTCTAATTACTCCACAGAATACTGCCGATACTACTGTAACTACTCCATAGAATACTGCTAATACTACTGTAACTACTCCACAGAATACTGCCGATACTACTCCACATAAAACTGCCAATACTACTGTAACTACTCCACAGAATACTGCTGATACTACTCCACAGTATACTGCTGATAATACTGCACATAATACTGCTAATACTACTGTAACTACTCCACAGAATACTGCTGATACTACTCCACAGTATACTGCTGATAATACTGCACATAATACTGCTAATACTACTGTAACTACTCCACAGAATACTGCTGATACTACTGCACATAATACTGCTAATACTACTGTAACTACTCCACAGAATACTGCTGATACTACTCCACATAATACTGCTAATACTACTGTAACTACTCCACAGAATACTGCTGATACTACTCCACATAATACTGCTAATACTACTGGAACTACTCCACAGAATACTGCTGATAATACTGCACATAATACTGCTAATACTACTGGAACTGGTCCACAGAATACTGCTGATAATACTGCACATAATACTGCTAATACTACTGGAACTGGTCCACAGAATACTGCTGATAATACTGCACATAATACTGCTAATACTACTGGAACTGGTCCACAGAATACTGCTGATAATACTGCACATAATACTGCTAATACTACTGGAACTGGTCCACAGAATACTGCTAATACTGGTACCTGAGTCACAGGTCTTGCCGTGATACTGAGGAGGACAGAGACATGTGAACTGTCCTCGGTCCAGAGTGCAGATCCCGCCGTTCAGGCAGGGGTTGGTCCGACAGGGGTTCAGATCTACGACACACAGGAGAGACGCTGAACGCATCACAACTCACGTCATCACGTCATCACGCATAAATGTGCTGTAATTAATACTCACTTTTGTATTTATACCAAAACTCCAGCTGTGGGACAAAAGAACACAGAGTTAATATACGCAGTACTGGGAGTAATACTGTGTACAGTGAGGGTGCTGTGACCTTTGACCTCCACAGGTGACTGGATGCTGTTCGGATGAAGACGCAGGTGCCCCCCAGTGGTCGTATTATACATTAGACAGTAAAAATACACCACATCATGTCTGTGTTGTTTCACATGTGGTCTCTAAACCCTGTGTGTGTTTTCAGTGGCCTCCTGTGGGGGAGCGACCCTCAGTTTGGACCTCGTTCTCACCGTCTTCTCTTTGGTCTGGAAGATCTCGGCGGCCTCCTCCTGAGAGCAGGTCTCCTCGTAACACTCCCTCTCCAGGTTTCCTGGTAGCATCTCCTCCAGGAAGAAGGAGTTGGCTCGACGCCTCCTGGAGGGCGAGCGGAGGATCTGACCTGCTGACAGCTGATCCAGGAACACTGCGAGGTGGACAAAATAACAGAAACACTCACTGTTAGTAACCAAGGGCGATTAAAATCAAGGGCAACTGGACTTGGTTGAAGATACTCGTAGACGTTTCACCTCTCATCAAAGAGGCTTCTTCAGTTTTGAGTGACTGCAGGTAGCTGTAACCTCTGTGGGGTCGTTATCAACGTGATGACAACACTTGGTTCGTTAGTGCTCCTGGTTGTTGTGGTCAGTGGTGTCACCTGAGGCCTGAGTCTTAATGACTGTCATTGGCTTTGTCACATTGTTTAGAGGACAGCATTGTAGGAGGGGGATAAGTGGTGCCTCAGCCCTCCGCCTCTGTTTAGAGATGGTATCTCGATTCTTTGAAACCATCTGTTCCTGTTCATCGAAACAGTGTCCTTTATCCTTCAGATATACTGTAGGTCAGTTTAACAACATCTGAAGGAAAAGGGAGGCCAAATGTGAGCGCTTCTTCAATGTCCTGCAAAGGGATAAAAGGACAGCACCGAAAGTCAGGGATAACTCAGGTGAGTCCATAGCGACTGTCGTTACAGCAGCGAGGAGAGCACTAACGAACCAAGAGGTATGATCACCTGGACATCAGCCCCACAGAGGGTAAATAGCTGGGACTCCCTGCAGTCGGTCAGAACTGAAGAAGCCTCTTTGATGAGAGGATCTTCCACCAAGACCGGCTGTCCTTGATTTAACCTTTTTTGGTAAACTCTGATCTGGCCGACCTTCACAGACTGTTAGTAGAACAACAGTAGAACCTGCAGGTGGAGCTGAGAGAAACAGTGTGCACACATACTGCAGAGGAGGAACTCAAGAAAACAGATCTATTATTATCCAACAGGAATAAAGACGTTTTCTTTGAGAAGCAGCAGATTCTTTGTGCAACACGACCCCAGGCAAAATGGCAGCAAATCGTTTAATAAATAATTCTTGTTGATCAGTTTTGTGGTGTTGGACAGTGATTTCCAACCAGGGGTACGTGGAGGGATTAGAACGTAGGAAATCTGATTTGATTAAAACAATATATCCACATATCAAGGCAGCTGTGACACCCGAACACTTCTGTAGCTGTTGTAAGAAGTCTAAAGCCCTGGATATGCTTGCTTTTAACGCCTATCCTGTGTACTTAGGAGCGTAGGTTGTGCGCGTCTCGACCTCACGGGCAGGTCCAATATTATGTAGCTGCAGAACCGGAGCTGCAGTTTCAGGACCCCTGCAATCCTGGGACCGCAGTTCTAGGATGCTTTGTATTGCTGTGCATTACCACCACCACTCCACTAGATGGCCCAGTCGCAAAAGAACTATGGTCCTAGAACTGCGGTCCCAGGATTGCGGGGGTCCTGAAACTGCAGCCTCCGGTACTGCAGCTACATACTATTGTTACGATGTAAAATTTTGGAGGTTGTCAAGGACGATAATCCGGTGTCGGCGAGAGATGATCCGGTCCTGGTCTGCCCCCTAGTGGATCGAGGTTTAATCCTCCAGTTACACGCAAAGTACGCAGGCAAGTATGTGAACAAAGCCGTTTGCGTCGCCAACGCCTGTCTACGCCTGTCTACGCCTGTCTACGCCTGTCTACGCCTGTCTACGCCTGTCTACGCCTGTCTACGCCTGTCTACGCCTGTCTACGCCTGTCTACGCCTGCGCTTTGTTAAAAATCCTTAAACAGGCGGCTAAAGGTAACGGATCAATGTTGGAACATTCAGCTTCACTCGAAGTGGTAAACGTATGATCGCTGACCAAACCAACCAATCCCTGGTGTTACACATGACAGGTGGGAATCGATGAAGGGGTAGGTGACTTCAGGGATGTGGGGTTACTCAGTACGTCAGCAGATCGATGAGATCGCCGCTCTACCTGCAGGTCTCACCTGTACATTCGATCAGTGCAGAGCAGATGAGCAGAGTGCAGAGAGCCGACGTCAGAGCTGGCAGCATATCTGTGGACAAAGACAGGAAGTGAATCCTCTGTTCACCGGGACAGGCTCATCAAACGCCTCATGAACGCAGCTGAGCACGTGTGTCACATGTCAAAATATCTGAATGTACAGCATCATGGTGCTTTTTGGGGTTTTCAGCAGCTTGGCACTCTGTTGGTCCACCTCTTTGGGTCAGACTGAATATATGAACTATTGAGATTAAATTTGGTTTAGACATTTAAGTTAACTGTAATAACTTCCTCTGACTTCCCTGTAGCACCAACGCCACAGTTTATGATGAGAATTCCTGTGAAACGGATTCCTGTCAGACCTCAAGTGTCTGACTTTTGACATTACCATGCAAACAGAACCCAGGTTTACGGAAGCCCTAATCGGCCATCCATTTATACATTTTATCTACATTTCCCAACAGCTATTTCAGAGGTGTGTGATGGACTCTTTAAATGTCCTTTAGAACTTTTCAAAGGTTCTTGACACACCTCTGAGACAGCCGTCAGTAAATGTGAGAGGTTGATGGATCGCCGGGTCTCTTCATAGCCACTTTACAAATCTACTCTTGTACAAGACAAACAAACACCAGCAGCTCCAGATCTGCAGAGACCTCGTCTCTGTGTTAAAGGACCCCGAGTGGCGCTGCGACCCGCGGGTTGAGAGCCTCGGCATTACTGTGAACCTGTTCTGCTGTAAGTGGACGGTCCTACCTGCTGTCTTCTGTTGTCTCTAGTTGTCTCCTGTTGTCTCCTGTGAGGACACTTTGTGTCTGTTTAGAGCTAAAATGGAGATCACACTGATTTACTGATCGTTAACCACAATGCAAATATTGACAGACAGACGTCACAGCAGCAGGACCGAGAGGACACAACAAGAAACAAGTCTGTTCACTCTGACTGAGATCACCAAGTTGTAAAGGAGATCACAGCAGCCTCTGATGATGTGTGACTTCATATTAACAAACAGGTTCAAAATACATCAGCTGATATCAAGGACTTTCCGCTCAGCTCAATAAACTCAGATCTGCTAAATCTGTTAAACACCTGAAACAGAATGTCAGTAAAAAGCAGCTGAAACATTTCAGAGCCGTAACATGAAGCTTCAATTCACTTTAAACTCATCATTCACGGAGAACTCCTCAAATAGTTACTGTGAAAGTGTAAATTAAAGGAACAGTAACATATAAAATCAACTTCATTTGTTAGGGACTATCTGTTGGCGCTGTTCACGTTCCACTCCGTCTCAGACGAGCTCTGGACACGGGCCCTCAGGGCCTTCATGGCCGTCTCTGGAGACTCCGCCCCACCAGAGACAATAAAAGCCCGGGAGCTGGGCTGATGAGTTGACACCACCCAAACACCTAGACCGGCCGGGTGAGATGAGGACTGCAAAGACTCCATCCAGGAAGGTCCTGCAGCACGTCGACTACCTGAGCCCGAGCAGGACATCATGCCTGGTCCTCGTACTCAAGAAGGGACCCCCCAAAGTCTTAAATAAAATTAAAAAATGTAATTAGTGACCTGCTGCCCCCATGTTCCTGCTCGACACCCTCCCAGTCCTGTTGTTATTATCATTAACATTAATATAAATATCCGCACCATTATTCGTTTTCAAACTAACATTAACTTTGCTGTCAGTGCTTCTGTGTCCACTGTGTTGACTGCCCCCCCCCCCTACATATATAAAATTTAATTGAAAACGGATTAAATGACTACATCCCACGTGATGAAGGCCTTTCTGAGACTTCCAACACTCCCACCTCAGGACTTTTTGTCTCCCAGGAGAACGTCAGCATCGTTTAGCTGCCACACCGGGCTTATTCCCACCTGGACGAGCCTGCGGGCAAAAAGAGGATCATGTTTGATTCCTCCAGTGCTGTTAACACCAAACTGCTGGATCCAGGCTCAGGGCTGTGCAGGTCAACTGTTCGCTCGGGTCTTTCCGGGCCTTTTCCGATCCAGCTCCAGTCACCTTCCTGCTGACGGTCTGACTTCAAACTAATCTATTAACTTTAGTACTTATTCCAGGTTCGTCCTGCCGACCAGGAATTCAACTAACAAACTGCCTTGTTGAGACTTGTTAAGGGGTTCAGTTTTTCAAGTTTATCCAGAAATGAAGGATCTCGGACTGATCTGGATGAAGGTGTTTTGTTTTTAAGGGTGAATGAACTATTTGCTGCCGAGCAGGAAGACAGACAGGAAACGTGCTGAAAAACCAAAACCTGGAGCTAAAAGAGGCTTAAAACCTCTGCAGAGGAGAAATACGCTGAGCGGGTGTTTTTCCACAGTGGAGACTTTATTTCTTACAGGAAGTTCAGATGTTTCTCTGCACACAACAATGCACTTACACTGACAGCCCTGCAGGGGGCGTATGTACAAACAAGAGGTATGACAGTACAGTATCAGGATTAATGTATAAATTATCCAATAAATACACAGGATGGAGGAGAGACGGACAAACAGCAGAGGACGAACCTGGAGCAAGGCACCGACTCGCTCATACGCTCCGACTGCAGCAGGAAGCTAACAAACATTAGCATGTTAATAATTACATTGATGCACGTTTTAAATCTTTACAACTGTCAAACTACAGTTACAGCAAAGTCTCTAACGCTCCTGATTGGTGAGACTCGGCAGCTTCGAAGGTCCTGGCGTTCTCTGAAATATCAGCTTGTTGCAGAGCCGAAGGCCTCAAGATACTTTCACCTTCTACAAGTTATCATTAAAAAGGATGGTTCGTCTGTGAGCTCACGGGTTCTTATCTTGATCCAAAGCGTGTTTGGACGACATCAGAACATGTGAGCGCATGATATGGAACAAGAGAATCATTTGTCTTTGAATACTGAACACACAGATCTGAATCAAGATAGTTTTCAGTTTGACATCCTGATCGTGTGTTTAGCTCATCACGTTAACCAGACGATAACTTGTCTGCACAACCTTTAACCTGCATGATGTGCACTCGATACACAGAGCTTCTGAGAGCAAGACCACGTCTGCGGTACAAGTAAATATCTTGTACACAAGTTCAAAACATAAATCATCTTTCAGGACTTGAAGTTAAACCACGTAGTACATCACACTGCTGCTTTCTCCTTCATCTAAATAAACTCAGCGTATTTAGAGAGCGTTAGAATATTTAATGACTAAAAGATGGAAACAAACAGAAACATAAAGTTAAACTCACTGAAACTGAACGACAGACACAGAAACACTGAAGCAGCTGAAACAAACAGAGTGACAGCATGAACAACATCAGCGGGCTGATTAAATGATTCTTCAGATATTAATACTGACTAGTCTGATGTGTGATCGACGGGAGAGTTAAGGCATCCTTTGATAACGAGTCCATCCGCTAGCTTCATGTAAACACTGAACTCCTGCTGGTTTCCTGTTCGCTTCACTCGCTGATCAGTAATCCATCACAGAGGATCAATCAGTGGGCTTGCTGTCACCGCTTGGCGCCGCATTAGAGGACGCTCGGGCATCGCAGAGGTGAGCTGCAGCTGCAGGGACGATACTTCTGAAATCTGGACGACCTGAACAAAGTGACCTGATAAGACGAGACTCCAAGAAAACGAACATATCGAGTTTGTCTGTCGGAATCCACCTGAAGGCAGCACGCACAGAAGCCGACCTATCTCTGCTGGCGGGCACGCCGTCAGACTGCGGAGGGGAGCGAAATCTAAACAACCATGTAAATATCTGTATGAACACACTGAACACACACGTGTAGCGTGCGTTATCGATTTGCACTACTGTAGCATTTTTCAATACGGTAGCGTAAAGCGTCAGAACGCCGGTCAGGTTCAGGAACAGAAAGGCAGGAAGTTTCCTGTCCCCGCAGGAACTCCTTCACGTCACCTAACTAAAGAATAGAGAGAGAAACGATCCCATCAAACGTTTCTATGCTCATTAGGCACTAATATTTTCCGGTTTATCAAAAGTGTGACGGGACATGAGGCTTTTTAGTCGGACCAGTGGAACATCGGGGTCCCTGTAAACGCAGCTCCTGAGCACCTTCACTGATATCAGGAGAACTTGTCTCCTGTTAAGACGTTAAATATGAACGTCCAGCTGCTGTTTGTTTTCTACAGACTAAAGCAACGAACGAGCTGCAGGATCTGGAGGTTCACCGGATCCAGTTTCTCTTCCTGTCGGTCCGATGCGGTTGGTTTCCAGATGACTAATTCATCGTGTTAAAAGTGAAAAGACAAATATCCCAAAGTGACGTCTTCAAACGGCCAAAAAGTTTCAGCTGGAGTTCAGGCTGAGGTCTGGGGCGCCGGGCAGAGCGGGACCGCCCGGACCGGTCTGATACACAACACAGATACAACACAGACAGAGAGACAGACAGCACTGAACAAACAGGAAAACATCAGACAGGAAACGCAGCTCGTCTTCATCGACTGTCGCTGCAGAGTCTTCGTCTCGCTCCCCTCTTGAACTCTGAATATCATCTGGACTTTATAGAAGAAATAAATATGTATTCTGGTACAAAACTCTCTGAGTCCGTGTCTCTCTACGAGCAAGAGACTCAAAGCGTCCGTCCCCCCTCGGGTGTCACAGAGTTCCTGTGTGGCAGATCGGGGACGTAGTTTAGTTCTAAAAATGTCTCTGAGCTGCTGAAACGACACTCGTCTAAAGGTTTAAAGGGTTCTGCAGGATTCTGGTCCGACATGAGAGGGACCGGAGGAGGTTCTGATTGGTTTGGCTGGTCAGATGAGACCCGGGTTGGAGAGCTGGCTTAACGGTGGCTTAAATCTGGACCCACACATCCAACAACTGAAGCTAAGATCCGGCTCACAGCTGGTCCAGAACGGGACCCAGGTCGGGTTTCTAACTGGTGTGGTGTGACGACCAGGATTAGTCAGGTACAGACTCCTGAAACCTTCATTCTGCACGCAGACATCACAGGGACATCTTTTTTGAAAAACTCTCTAAAAAAGACCCGACTCAGTGAATATACGAAGGTCACGGGGTCAGGAAGTGACCTCGCCGCACCAGCAGAGCCCAGAAGGACCTGATAACACGCAGGAATCTGGCGGCCACGTTGTCTCCCCGGTCTCCTCAGGTGTATGGCTCTGTCGCAGCCCTTCAGTAGGTAGATAATGTTTGGCTCTGGATCCCAACCCCCCACCCCTGGATACTGGATACCGATTGGTTGGGGGGTGAGATGACAAGGCACTAGTGGATCATCTGATTAGTTTCTTTCTCCTGGTGGCGGAGCTGAAGGCTCGGCAGAGACAGAATGAGTCCTGCTCCAATCGCCGTGAGCCTTGGATGTGATGTCACAGGCTGTGGTTGTGTCAGAGGTCAGGTGGTTGAGGTGGTCAATGGCAGCAGAGGTAGGAGGAGGTCGGGAAGCTGGAAGAACAACAAGGAGAAGTCAGACTACAAACAGACTGTAAGGAACAGAGACCGGGAAGATCCTGGTCAGGGCGGGGGACCGGGGGACGGGGGACCTTGGGACCAAGGGACCAATGGACCAACGGACCAAGGGACCGGGGTACCAAGGGACCGGGACACCAAGGGACCAATATACCAACGGACCAAGGGACCATGGTACCGGGGGACCAAGGGACCAATGGACCAAGGGACCAATGGACCAACGGACCAAGGGACCGTGGTACCGGGGGACCAAGGGACCGGGGTACCAAGGGACCAAGGGACCAATGGTCCAACGAACCAAGGGACTGGGGGACCATTGGACCATCGGACGAAGGGACCGGGGTACCAAGGGACCGGGGGACCAAGAAACCAGGGTACCAAGGGACCAATGGACCGGGGGACCAAGGGACCGGGGGACCAAGGGACCAATGGACCAACGGACCAAGGGACCGGGGTACCAAGGGACCAAGGGACCAATGGACCAACGGACCAAGGGACCGGGGTACCAAGGGACCGTGGTACCGGGGGAACAAGTAGAGAAGGTCATTCTCTAAATCCTGTGTTCAGAACAGAAACTCTAGAATCACCTGGCGGCCGTCACGCCTCGCTGGCGCTGCTGTTCCTGTTGAGCTCTCTGATGCCCTGAAGGATCCGCTTCATGTGACCCACCTTCGTCACCCCCAGGTCCTAAAGACACACACACAGCATTAACAGAGGGTTTGTAACAACATCCATCACGCATCAGTCGTCCATGCAGCCGGCCAATGATCGATCAGAGCTAGCGGCGGTACCTTCAGGTCCCTCCTCTCCAGGTGGATGAGCTCGGCTCCGCGGACGTCGTGTCCGATAAAGATGTCTTTATATTCAGTGAGACAGAGAAAGTCCAGCCACGCCCCCACCTCCTCCGTCCCCCACTGGTGAACTGAGACACCGACAGGAAGTGAATCAGACAAACAGGAAGTGAATCAGACAGACAGGAAACATCCCAACACAGAAAAACTACAGAGAACTGGAGCAGCTTCAGAGAGACCTGAACCCTTAACACGTGAACTAGAACCCACAATCAGTGACCTCAGGGTGAGAGAGAGAGAGAGAGAGAGCGCTCACCTGGCAGAGAGAGAGAAAGAGTGAGAGAGAGAGAGCTCACCTTGCAGAGAGAGAGAGTGAGAGAGAGAGAGCTCACCTGGCAGAGAGAGAGAGAGAGCTCACCTGGCAGAGAGAGAGAGAGCGCTCACCTGGCAGAGAGAGAGAAAGAGTGAGAGAGAGAGAGCTCACCTTGCAGAGAGAGAGTGAGAGAGAGAGAGCTCACCTGGTAGAGAGAGAGAGAGAGAGCTCACCTGGTAGAGAGAGAGAAAGAGTGAGAGAGAGAGAGCTCACCTTGCAGAGAGAGAGAGTGAGAGAGCTCACCTGGTAGAGAGAGAGAGAGAGAGAGAGAGAGAGAGCGCGCGCTCACCTGGCAGAGAGAGAGAGAGAGAGCTCACCTGGTAGAGAGAGAGAGAGAGAGAGAGAGAGAGAGCGCGCGCTCACCTGGCAGAGAGAGAGAGAGAGCTCACCTGGCAAAGAGAGAGAGAGCTCACCTGGCAGAGAGAGAGAGAGAGCTCACCTGGCAAAGAGAGAGAGCTCACCTGGCAGAGAGAGAGAGAGAGCGCTCACCTGGCAGTGAGAGAGAGAGCGCTCACCTGGCAGAGAGAGAGTGAGAGAGAGAGAGCAAGCTAGCTCACCTGGCAAAGAGAGAGAGAGCTCACCTGGCAGAGAGAGAGAGAGAGCTCACCTGGCAGAGAGAGAGAGCTCACCTGGCAGAGAGAGAGAGAGCGCTCACCTGGCAGTGAGAGAGAGAGCGCTCACCTGGCAGAGAGAGAGAGAACTCACCTGGCAGAGAGAGAGAGAGCTCACCTGGCAGAGAGAGAGAGAGCGCTCACCTGGCAGAGAGAGAGAGAGCTCACCTGGCAGAGAGAGAGAGAGAGCTCACCTGGCAGAGAGAGAGAGAGAGCTCACCTGGCAGAGAGAGAGAGAGAGCTCACCTGGCAGAGAGAGAGAGCGCTCACCTGGCAGAGAGAGAGAGAGCTCACCTGGCAGAGAGAGAGAGAGCTCACCTGGCAGAGAGAGAGAGCTCACCTGGCAGAGAGAGAGAGAGCTCACCTGGCAGAGAGAGAGAGCGCTCACCTGGCAGAGAGAGAGAGAGCTCACCTGGCAGAGAGAGAGAGAGCTCACCTGGCAGAGAGAGAGCGAGAGCTCACCTGGCAGAGAGAGAGAGAGCTCACCTGGCAGAGAGAGAGAGAGCTCACCTGGCAGAGAGAGAGAGAGAGCTCACCTGGCAGAGAGAGAGAGAGAGCTCACCTGGCAGAGAGAGAGAGAGAGCTCACCTGGCAGAGAGAGAGAGAGCTCACCTGGCAGAGAGAGAGAGAGAGCTCACCTGGCAGAGAGAGAGAGAGCTCACCTGGCAGAGAGAGAGAGAGCTCACCTGGCAGAGAGAGAGAGCTCACCTGGCAGAGAGAGAGAGAGCGCTCACCTGGCAGAGAGAGAGAGCTCACCTGGCAGAGAGAGAGAGAGAGCTCACCTGGCAGAGAGAGAGAGAGCTCACCTGGCAGAGAGAGAGTGGCGCAGGCCTCTTTGTTCTTGTTGTTTTTGTCTTTCTTGAACTTTGGGACGAGACGAAACTTTGCGCTCCGACTCCGTTTTGAGAAATCTGTCAGAGGACCCTGAAGACACACACACAGGTACGTCCTTCAGAATAAAAGCATGTCAGGAATGTTTCTCTGTGTGTTGGACGTGGTTAAAGAGGCTCAAACTGTTTGACAGCAGCCTCAGAATTTGATGAGATGGATTTACATCACTGGTGTCTACAGCAGATTTTTGGCCAATCATGTTTTGATGTAAACTTTCAGGTTTCAACGGGCTGCTGTTTGTCCGTAAGGCCACCTGGCTCTAATTTCGCTGCAACTTTCAAACTCTTTGTTTCAATGGGGACTTTGCACTATTTTGAAATCTCCCAGGACAAGTAAATTGTATTTATGTACCAAGACTACAGGCTGTATAATTACGCAGGCTAACAGTACTACTGTAAATACACCTAGTACTACCAGCTGAGTCAGCACTGATGGCGATTTACCTCGTGGTCTGAGGGGTCGATGACGGGACACAACCAGGAAACATCAGCCAGCTGCCGGAGCTGCTGAGCCACAGAGCTCAGAGCTGCATTCAGCTGTTCCTGCTGAGGAGGGTCCAGCTGCTGCACAAAAACACACAACAACCATCAGGACCAGAAACAGAACCAGGATCAGTACATCAGAGAGTTAGTGCTTGAAGATTCCTCAACAACATGGAGGAAAACAAGGAACCTTAAACTCTAATTTAATATAATCATGTATTGATGTGTGGGCTGAACAGCTGATCTGACCTCAGCAGCACGGACGATCACTATAAATATGTAGATGATCAGAATAATCAAACAGACCTGAAGTATCATCAACAAAGCAGGAGATGAATCAATATTGTTGTTTACTGAAGTCAAGTGAAATCATATCCTGATGACATCATCTATGACATCATGATCTTCTGGAGTCAGATTAATGATTCTGAGAAGTTACAAACTAAGAACTTTTGGATTAATCTATACGTGGTTTTTACAGATCTTTGCCCATGACAACAAGCTCCATTCTGAATGATAAAACATAAAAGTTATAATCTGTGATAGAAACGTCTCAAACATCTTCATGGACAGAATGATGGACAGTTACCATGGACATCTTTCCAGCCAGCAGCAGCTCCGTCTCACTGAGTAAAGCTTTGACATTACTGACCATCTGAAGGACAACGCTGCAGCTCAGAGACTGGAGACAGACAGAGAGAGAAACACAAGGTCAAGTGTTTGATTTGGATAACTAAAATCACAAATTAAATTCACAATTAAAATGATAAATGTACGCTACCGCTCAAGCTTTTAGAACAGCCCCATGTTTGTAGTTCTTCTGTAAATCTAAGTAGTTCAAGTCCAGTGAAAAACCTTAAATGGTACTAAAGTAAGGTTCCAATGTGTTTACTGTACAAATGTGTTTCATTTCCTTCCACTGCTGCAGAATAACCAAAGAAGTTAAAGACAAAGTAAAGTAAATGGCAGAGATTTACAATTTTCAGGGAACAGTAATGAGTCAACAACTTCAAATTATTCTGCAGCAGTGCAAGGAAATGAATCATCAAACACACTGGAACCTTACTTTGGTATATTTAGGGGTTTTCACTGGACTTGAACTACTTATGTTTACATACAAACTACAAATATAGGGGTGTCGCAAAACTTTCGCACTACATACAACATATAACGAGGACAGTAAGCTTCAGGACAGGACAGTGGAAAACTTGTGTTTAGTACCCCGGAGCTCTTGGAGTTTGCGTAGACCACATCCATGGCCTTTGAGCTGGCGTTGACAGCGTGAGCAAGTTCCTGTTCCAGACTGTGGTGAGACTGAGCGACTTCACGAATACTGAAGCACAAAACACCAGAGATTCATAAACATCTGCTGTCTGAAAACATCAAGTACAATCAAAGAGTACTCACAGGTCAGGCATTTCACAGTGGGTATACCACAGTATATCACTGTTGGTATACCGCAGTGGGTATTTGATAGTTGATACACCGCAGTGGGTATTTGATAGTTGATACACCGCAGTGGGTATTTGATAGTTGATACACCGCAGTGGGTATTTGATAGTTGATATACCGCAGTGGGTATTTTATAGTTGATATACCACAGTGGGTATTTTATATTTATATATCACAGTTTGTCCTTGAGCAGGATCCTTAAAACGTGAATCAGCCAATCCTTTAACGATCATTCTCCACACGCTGATGTTGGTCCTGTGGTTACCTGTGTATGAGAGCCCCTGCTGCCTGACCGAACTCGCCGATGAGCGACGCCTCTTCCTCAGAGACAATCTCTGGCTGTGAGGAGAGAGGGGGCTGTGGGGGCTGTGGGGGGGGAGTCCGGGGAAACTCGCACTTCTGTTTGTCCTCCCACGACTTCAGGGTGCTCTCAAAGGCCTGAAACACACACTGTAACTGAAACAGCTGTGGCATCATACAACTCATCAATCATTATAACTGATATTACTTATTAATCATTACATGGGCAGATCAGACCGATTCTCAGTAACCAGTTTATTATCTGTCTGAGGGTCTGGTTTAGTACTCACTCTGTCCCTGGTGAGCGTCTGGGTTCGGTTCTTGTGGATGATCTTGATGTAACCTGGAGGTTGGACCCACGCCTCCCCGTCTACCTGCACCGGGACGCCTTCATCACCCAGGATGGTGATCTTCACAGTCCGACACTGAAACAGGGAGAGACAGAAAGCGTCAGGAAGCTGGATGGACAGACAGACAGATAGTAGAGACAGACAGGTGTACCTGATGGACAGATAGACAGACAGACAGACAGGTGTACCTGAGCTATGCGGTGGTGCTGCAGGTTGATGACTCGGGACACGGCCATCTGCATGCTGCCGAACACGGCCACCACCTCCAGGATCTTATCATCAAAGGACGGAGCTGTGAACGTCTAAGAGAGAGAAACAGGTGACATCACTCATCACCTGACCACTCTGGAAGAATCTCGTTTAATACTTTCAAACATATAGGAGGGCCGTCTGTAAAGCCAGAGCGCGTGGAGAAGGACCGAGCGACAAGACAGGCAGACAGACATCACAGAGACAAGTTCAGTTCTCACGTCGTCCTCTTTGGTTCCTCCCCAGAAGTTGGTTCCTCCTGCGTAACTCGGGATATTCAGCACAGCGATGCCCTGCAGACTGGGGAGGGGGATGGGCCGCCCATCACACTGCGCACACACACACAGATTATATGTCAGCTGAAGAAAGTACCAGTTAATGGTCTAACACCAGCAGAACCGGGTCACTGGCCTGCTCCACTTTGTTCTGTGTCTCACCTCCAGCAGAACCCTCTGTTCCAGGTTCTTGTAGGTTCTGTGCAGCAGCTCTTTGGTCCCCAGAACTCCGTACCACATCATGTTCTTGGTCCGACTCCTGAACACACATTATTTAAAATGTTTAACATCAAATTAACTCACACGTTTATTGATTCACACATTTATGGTTATCGAACCACAAATAAAAAGGTCATCAGTAGCTTCTGTGGAGATGAAGCTTAAACTAAACTTTCCTTTTGTTTCTGTTCAGATCAATCGGGAAAAGACAGAAAGACATTCAGGTTCAGTAAATAAAGTGTTGATGGGCTCGTTGTCAGTACCTGCACTTCTCTGGATGTTCGTCTCTCTTGTTGTTGAAGTCCAGAGAGATTTTAGCGTCCAGTCCGATTCCAAAGTAGTTGTTCATGACACATTTCTCAGTGTAGCAGTCCCTACAAACACACACAGGTTAAAGTCATGATATCACCCACAAACAGACGGACGCACAGACTGACGGACAGTCTTACATGTTGTCTGGGTCACAGCTGAACGGGTCGGCGTTGACCAACAGTCGACTGATGACAGAACTGCTGGAGAGGGAACCTGAGAGCCCTCTGAGACCTGCACACAGGTAAACACACAGGTAAACATCACGCTGCTGTCATGACAAGATGAACTTCCTGTTTGACCTTAGAGCCTCTTACTTGGATAGAGGATCTTTGCGTTGAGCATGGGCATGTTCTCCCTACTTGCTGTCTGGACAGGAAGTGATGCAGAGCTGCCCAGTGACAGGCTGCCCTTATTGATCAGCTTCTCACAGGGCGTCTTACAGACTGAAGACACAGACAGACAGACTGACAGGTAAATAACTCTGGACATTGTTAACTGACATCTATCTGCTTTGGTATTCAAAGTGTTGAATCTGGTCGTATCTTTGGGCAGATATGATCATACTGTAGATTCTTGGAATAGTCTTTATTTACAGTAAAGAGAAGCAGGAGCATATTAAAGGTAGAACTTTTTTATATTTGTATTATAATTAATATATTAATATAATAGTTAATGTCCTTCTACAGGAAGCGTTAAGATTCCCTGATGGAACATTTGAGACTTTATGGTTCTGTACTGGTATGAGTACTAGAGATGGTAGTAGAGTTAGTAGTACAGTAGGGCTGACCTCTGCGTGAGTTGCGGTGTTTGGCGCTGTAGGACGACTGTAGAGACATTTTATCCTCCTCCACGTCCTCCTCCTCTTCCTCCTCCACCAGACCCTCCTCTTCCTCAGCCCGACTCAGAGAGAAGAGCTGCTGCTGAGTCTGAGCGTTCTGCTCATCCACAGCTGGAAACACGGACACACTTTAACCATCCTGAGAACACATCTGACGAATGAAACAGTGAACCTGATGTGTCTGCCTGCCTGTCTGCCTGTCGTACCTTTCTCTGTGTGCTCGATGATCTGTCTGATGGCCTTCTTCAGACTGTTGGCTCTCAGCATCAGCTGCTCTCGAGGTTTAAAGATGGCGGCCACAGCAGAGGAGGATGTGTTGGTCCGCGGGGAGCAGGGGGCGTGAGGGGAAGGATGAGGAGGACAAAGACGAGTAGGCAGAACGACTCCCTCTGACTCCTCCTGCTCCTCAGCGATGGTGGGGGGAGGAGCCGGGTGGTGCACCGTGGAGGCCTGAGACTCCTCGTTCAGCGTCTTCAGCAGAGAGTCCAGCTTTTCCTTCAACACACCACACTGACACAAACACGGCTCATCACCATCACGGCTCACTATTATCACTAACACGGCTCACATTACCACTAACACGGCTCACCACTATCACTAACACAGCTCCAACATGGCTCACCACTATCACCTACACGGCTCATCACTGTTATGGCTCACCACTATCACTAACACGGCTCCCCACTATCACCAACAGTAAGTAAGTAAGTAAGTACATTTATTTGTCCCGGTAAGGAAATTTGTTTGCATGGCAATCAAGTAGGCATTACAAACATACATCATACAACATACATCATACATATACACCAAAAGAGAACCTTTAAATATACAAAGTCACATACTAATACACTTAACACATATTTCCCCATACCCTGCACTTTTACTACCTATTTGATTAGGCAATACCAGACCAGCTGAGTATCCTACCTATTAACTTACATATTTAAAAGCTTAATTGCTTGAGGCACAAATGAAAACTTTGATCTATTTTTGGTAAATAGAGGGAGGCAATATCGTCGCCCAGAAGGAAGTAGTTCAAATGAAGAGGCAAGGGGGTGCCTCTTGTCTCCCACAATGGTTTTTGCCTTGTTCCTTACCCTTTCCCTATAAATGCATTCCACACTTGGTAACTTGATCCCTAGTAGTTTACTGGCCATTGTTACTGTTTTCCTTACAGACTTCTTCTGTGCCTCAGTAGCATTACCAAACCAGCAGATGATGCAGAAGGCCAACACACTTTCAATAAAAGAAGAATAAAACATCTGAAGCATTTTGTTGTGAACATTAAAGGATAACAATTTCTTTAAAAAGTACATTCTTTGTTGTGTCTTAGTACTGATGAGGTCAGACCACAGATCCCATTTAAGCTTATGGTCAATCACAACGCCAAGATATTTATAATTTGTAAGTGATTGTATAGCCTCCCCGTTGATAAAAGTTGAATTTGATGATTGGATCATTCTAAAATCAATAGACATTTCTTTTGTTTTGGTGGTGTTTAGAAGGAGGCTTGACTTTTCACACCACTCTAAGAAATAGTCAAGAACTGGCCCATGCTCCTCCTCATCATCATATAGTAGACTTAACAAGGCAGTATCATCTGCATACTTAATAAGGTGCCTGTTTGGTAAAGTGCTGGTACAAGAATTAGTATATAAAATAAACAACAAAGGAGATAAAACACATCCCTGAGGAGAGCCTGTGCAAGTAGACATTTTATCAGAGAGAGAAGTTCCTGCCCTGACTTGCTGGATTATACAGCTAAGAAAATCAACAATCCATAAGATCAAGCCAGGTTCAAGTGAAAATTCTGAGGCCAATCTATCCACCAAAATACTGGGCTGAATAGTATTAAAAGCCGAGGAAAAGTCCACAAATAAAATCTTAGCATGGGTCTTTGGTTTCTCAAGGTGAGTGTGCAATAAGTGCAATAGTGTCCCAATGGCATCTTCAAATCCCCTGGAGGCCTGATAGGCAAATTGCAAGGGGTCCATGAGGTGCTGAGTTTCAGATACAATGTACCTCACAACACTCACAACACGGCTCACCACTATCACTAACATGGCTCACCACTATCATGGCTCACCACTATCACTAACATGGCTCACCACTATCATGGCTCACCACTATCACTAACATGGCTCCCCACTATCACGGCTCCCCACTATCACTAACATGGCTCCCCACTATCACGGCTCCCCACTATCACTAACATGGCTCATCACTATCACGGCTCCCCACTATCACTAACATGGCTCATCACTATCACGGCTCCCCACTATCACTACCATGGCTCACCACTATCACTAACATGGCTCACCACTATCATGGCTCACCACTATCGCTAACACGGTTCACCACTATCACCAACACAGTTCACCACTATCACCAACATGGCTCCAACATGGCTCCTCACTATCACGGCTCAACACTATCACTAACATGGCTCATCACTAACACGGCGCCCCACTATCACTAACATGGCGCCCCACTATCACTAACATGGCTCACCACTATCACAGCTCACCACTATCACTAACACGGTTCACCACTATCACCAACACGGCTCCAACATGGCTCCTCACTATCACGGCTCACCACTATCACTAACATGGCTCATCACTATCACTGCCATCACTAACAGGGCTCATCACTATCACCACTATCACTAACAGGGCTCCCCACTATCACCAACACTGCTCCAACATGGCTCCCCACTATCACCAACACTGCTCCAACATGGCTCCTCACTATGTACACTATCACGGCTCACCACTATCACCAACATGGCTCCAACATGGCTCCTCACATCACCAACACGGCTCATCACTATCACCAACACGGTTCATCACTATCACCAACACGGCTCATCACTATCACGGCTCACCATTATTGCTAACACGGCTCATCACTATCACTGACAAGGCTCATCACTAGCAATACTATCACTGCTCACCACCATCACTAACATGGCTCACCACTATCACCAACACGGCTCCAACATGGCTCCTCACTATCACGGCTCATCACTATCACTAACATGGCTCACCACTATCATGACTATCACCACTATCACTAACAGGGCTCCCCACTATCACCAACACAGCTCCAACATGGCTCCTCACTATCTACACTATCACGGCTCACCACTATCACCATCATGGCTCCTCACTATCACTAACATGGCTCCCCACTATCACCAACACGGCTCACCACTATCACCAACACGGCTCCAACATGGCTCCTCACTATCACGGCTCACCACTATCACTAACATGGCTCATCACTATCACCACTATCACTTACAGCGCTCCCCACTATCACCAACACGGCTCCAACATGGCTTCTCACTATCAACACTATCACAGCTCACCACCATCACCAACATGGCTCATCACTATCGCTAACATGGCTCCTCACTATCAACACTATCACGGCTCCCCACATCACTAACATGGTTCACCACTATCACCAACACGGCTCACCACTATCACTAACCAGGCTCACCACTATCACTAACCAGGCTCACCAATATCACCAACACGGCTCATCACTATCGCTAACACGGCTCATCACTATTGCTAACACGGCTCATCACTATCACTGACACATCACTATCAACACTATCACTGCTCACCACTATTATTGTTTTTTGGGTATTATTGTCTTTAAACTTGTTAAAGCACTTTGTAACTTGTTTTTGAAAAGTGCTCTACAAATAAAGATTATTATTATTATAACACTGCTCATCACTTTCACCACTATCACGGCTCATTACTATCACTAACCTGGCTCATCACTATCACCAACTTGGCTCATTAGTGTCACAGATTATCACTATCACGGCTCACTGCTATCACTAACACGGCTCCAACATGGCTCATCACTATCACCACTATCACCAACTTGGCTCATTAGTGTCACAGATTATCACTAACACGGCTCCAACATGGCTAATCACTATCAACACTATCACTAACTAGGCTCACCACAAGTCCCTTTTCCACCGATGGTACCCACTCAACTCGACTTGCCTGTTTTGGTTTTCCACTGGGCAAATCTGGTACCTGGTAGGTTTTTTGTCGAGGTTCCAAGCGAGCTGAGCTGATACCAGAAGGCTACGTGAAAACACTGCAGACTGCTGTGTGAGATTGAACCTAGCTAGCAGCCGATGTGTTTATAGCTGAGCTGCTAACGTTAGCTCAGTTTAGAAGCTCAGTTTGATTTAAGTTTAAGATTCCTTCAGTGTTGACTGTTTAGGAGGTTTCTACTGGGAGCTGAATAACCACTGAGGTTGTCTCCACTCCAGAACATACGGACGAGCTCATTAAAACATCAAAAACACTGAATAAATCAGCATCACCCTAAAAAATGAACGTCTCTTCAGAGTACACTGTGCGTCAGCCAGCTGACCTCTTGGTTAGAGCTGTCGGCCGGTAGAACACAATATGGCCATGCAGTCATTTCACAGCGGAGTTATAAAGACATTAAAAATATAAATATACCTTCTTGGCCATAGCTTCCGACTCCTCTGAATTCTCGGTGTTCTTCTCGTACGCTTTACCAACACGAGCCACAAAGTCCTTCACCGTCTCACACAGAACCCTGAAGATCATCATACAAATACAGACACAGTAAATTAAACAGACAGGTGGACAAACAGAAAGACAGGTGGACAGACAGACGTACTTGGCAGAGGAGATGACGACAGAGTGCTGGTCTGAGGTCAGGATCTTGGAAAGGTGAGCAGCCACAGAGTCCTCATAAGTCTGAATCTGCTGTACCTGTGTACATTGAGGTCAGTACAGGTGAGCATGAGCTTTCAAAAAGAGACAGATTCATCAGTAGTTTTATCATGTGATTCAGTTTTTCTTGTTCTTTAAATCAGATTTTCAAATTCCTCTGAATGAGAACTAACGTCGGTCAATATTAAGAATATAAAGTAGCAGTTCTGGGTTCAAACTAAATGGATCATGTACATATATGCCCCCCTCCTCCTGAGTATGAAAACACACTGCGGACGAGACATTAGTAGATCAGCTGTTTCTTTAACATGGCATCTCGTAGTTGCATCTTTCCTGATCACATGAAATGATCCAAATCTCTCTGGTCAGTCACTTACAGACTCTTCAACACCAACTGAAAATTGGACAACGGCTGCTACTAAAGAAATATGGAGTCGCTGAATGTTCCCGTTACCTCAGAGTCGTCGCTGCAGTCCTCCGTGACGGTAGACGCAGAGTGCTGCCGTGGAAACTTGGTTTCATAGACCATGATGCTCCACCTGCAGCCGGAGGAGAGAAAGGTACAGCTAGTGTTACTGTGTCGCTGTGCAGACGCACCTTGGTGTACACATGGATAATAAGTTATTAAGTTCATCCTGATATATTAAATATGTCCGTAGCTGCATGTCAACAAGGGCTGCGGTGACGTTCATGCACTTACTTGTTTTATCCTGTATCATCTACTGTTTGACAACCTGGTCACAAGCAAGCAACACTCTCAAACCACTACAGTCCCTATCCAAAAAAAACCCATATACTTTCATCATTGCAACAACATTTATGTTGGAAAACTTAATTACACATAGAGATCTCTGTCTCATGTACAAAATCTTACATGGACTGGCTCGTCCTGTATTTGTCAACACAGCACCAACTGCTTACAGATGTACTAGGAGTGCAGCAAGAGGTGACTGCATTGTCAGTGACAGTGAGATGAGTTAGATGAGAGATGCCTTTTTTAAATTGTATTTTATTGGCAGTGAGCGTTCTGCGTGCTGTTTATGAGCCCTGGGCGCCTCAAGTTTTCACACCAGCAAAACATGTTCTGTGTGATCCGGGCCTTACACCACTGAGTTACCTGTCCTAAGTCAGTTACCTGTCCTTCGTCAGTTACCTGTCCTTCGTCAGTTACCTGTCCTACGTCAGTTACCTGTCCTTCGTCAGTTACCTGTCCTTCGTCAGTTACCTGTCCTACGTCAGTTACCTGTCCTTCGTCAGTTACCTGTCCTGTCCTTCGTCAGTTACCTGTCCTACGTCAGTTACCTGTCCTTCGTCAGTTACCTGTCCTGTCCTTCGTCAGTTACCTGTCCTACATCAGTTACCTGTCCTGTCCTTCGTCAGTTACCTGTCCTACGTCAGTTACCTGTCCTACATCAGTTACCTGTCCTGTCCTTCGTCAGTTACCTGTCCTGTCCTTCGTCAGTTACCTGTCCTACATCAGTTACCTGTCCTGTCCTTCGTCAGTTACCTGTCCTACGTCAGTTACCTGTCCTACATCAGTTACCTGTCCTGTCCTTCGTCAGTTACCTGTCCTGTCCTTCGTCAGTTACCTGTCCTACGTCAGTTACCTGTCCTACGTCAGTTACCTGTCCTGTCCTTTGTCAGTTACCTTTCCTTGGTCAGTTACCTGTCCTGTCCTTCGTCAGTTACCTGTCCTACGTCAGTTACCTGTCCTACGTCAGTTACCTTTCCTACGTCAGTTACCTGTCCTGTCCTTCGTCAGTTACCTTTCCTTCGTCAGTTACCTGTCCTACGTCAGTTACCTGTCCTACGTCAGTTACCTGTCCTGTCCTTCGTCAGTTACCTTTCCTTCGTCAGTTACCTGTCCTGTCCTTCGTCAGTTACCTTTCCTACGTCAGTTACCTGTCCAACATCTTGGTGCTGGCTCTCTCCAGTTTCTCCAGTATCTGAGGCAGCTGAGTATCGTCGTCACAGGCTGAACCCCATCCCAGAACCCGGGCCAGATCGTTGCCCGTCCCCAGAGGAAGGACTCCCAACTGACACTACAACAACAAAACACACGACAACACAGTAAACAACACGTTTCATTTCATATCTTCAGTGTGGGCCCCCGAGACAGCACTCTCTAAGGATGTTTTGCCTGTATCTTGACTCTTAGGCCCAAATAACCACAGACCAGGTCCGAAATCTTGGCTTTCTAATAGACTCAGATCTCACAGTCACAAACCACATCAAAGCAAATCACCAAAACAGCATTCTATCGTCTTAAAATACAGGCAGAGTGAAGGGCCCGGTGTCCCAAAAAGACAGAGAGATTCAGACATATGATGTGATTGGACAGTGATATTCATTAAATTAGCCTATTATTACTTTTGTTTGTCAGTACAGGAGCATCTCAAATCTCAAAACAAATTTGAATCTGGTGGAAAAGTTAATTGTGAGCACCAGAACCAGACTGAGAGATTAAAGACTCAGGAAACTTTTGCAGGTGTTTTGAGTTAATTAGCTGATCAGAGCTCTTCTCAAGTCGACATTTCTGTGTTCGGTGTGTGTATTATAGTGCGTTACCTGTTTGTGCAGTGTGAGAGCGTCTATCTCGGACAGAACCCAGCCGACGCTGCCGTCTCCTCCACACACCAGGATCCTGAACGTGTCAAACTTCTGGAACAAACGCAGACTGACAGCAACAGATTTAAAGTTTGAACCAGTTTAATAAAACTCTCTCTCTCTCCCTCCCTCTATCTCTCTCACCCCAGGTGTGGTCCCCCGTTCATCAGGTCGAACACCTGCGCCGGGTTCAGCAGCTGTTTGAAGCGCCGCAGGAACTTGACGCCCTGGTTGTCTCCGCTCTTAGAGTTGACAAACACCAGCAGAGGACTGGTGCAGGACGGAGGACAGGACGCCTTCCAGAAACCTGGACACAACACACACTTCAGCACGTGTCGCAGGTGAACGTGTCGAGTGCTGCAGTAAATATGGTCTCACCGTCAGAGTCGATGCTGTTGAGCGCCGTCGGCGGGATGACGGACACTTTACACTGACCCAGAGGACACTTAGAGGACAGCTGCTCCTTACAGCCTGAGTGCACCTGCAGGACGCACAGAGGCAGCACATCTGTATTAGTGATACGACTGTGTACACAGTTACCATGGTAACTGGACATGCGTCTCACCATGGCTTTGCACCAGAGACACCTCCAGTCCTGCAGCCGGAGGACGCTGCCACACGTCTTGTCACAGACGTTACATTTAGCCGAGACGGGTAGGTTCCCCTCTAACCACTGATGAGGCATCGACACCTGAGGACAGAGGTCAGAGGTCACGTGTGAGCGGGACACGAGGCGTTTACTGTCACAGCTACCAGGTGTGTGCATGTGTCTCACCCCGTCCTCGTCCTCGATGATGTCCTTCCCGATAGAAGCCAGCGTGGTCCACTTACAGTTGTTGGTGGCTCGAACGGCGCAGCGTTTATGAGCCTTAAACTTGCACACTGTAACACACACGCACACAGTTAGAAACACACATTGAACAGATAGAGCAGGATGCATACAGAATCCGTGAATGGTTCGTTCTGTAGTTATTAAATTATATATATTATATAATGAGTCTGATTTGTGAAGATTTGTGTGTTACACTGACAGTGGCATAATCTCAGTCTTAGTATTATTGGATCTCAGTGCTGCTTTCGACACGGTCGACCACAACATATTATACTATACTATAGGTAATCACACATCTGAGCTAAGAAAAATGACTTGTGGAGTTCCCCAAGGCTCCATTCTGGGGCCTCTTCTGTTTAACTTCTACATCAGGGGTTGGCAAATAAGTCTGGCATCGGGCCAAATCTTTTTCAAGGCATTACATGGCGGGCCAGAACAAAGTCGAATTATTTCAAATCCTTATGTATTCGTGTGCACGTTTAGCTCAGTCGGTACAGTGCGGGACTCTCGTTTGGAAGGTTGTACGATCGATTCCTACCAACTACATATAGTTTTTTCTCCTTTGTTAAACAAATGGATTATAAGCACACTTTTGCACACGCTCACAATAAAGCAAGTGCTGCAGTGTGCGTGCCTACAGACGCTTATTTTCATTTCCCTGAGAAAATTCAGGGGAATCCAATCACACGTTTACTGACGGCTTTTCCAGAGGTGTGTCAAGCCGGCCAGAGACGCTTTTGAGTGTCGTTCAGAACTTTTCAAAGTAAAAGCTCTCGATAAACTTGTCATAAAGCATTGCCACAAAAAAAGTTCTCGCGCTTTTATTTTGGAGGCACAATCACTTAAGAGGAAGTGATTGTGTGAGTAACTGTAGCTGTCATGTCTGAGATCTATTTCAGCACCAGCTGCTATGAATTTATTTCTCTTTTTTAAGAGCAAATCAATCGGGCTGCTTATTGCTGACCACTGATCTACATGCTTCCACTGGCTCAGATTATGAAAAACAACAAAATATGTTACCATAATTATGCAGATGACACACAGATTTACATAACCATTTCACCAGGGGACTGTGATCCCATACAGGCGCTGTATGGGATCACATTGTTTTTGGAGCGAAGGAAGAACGATTAAAAGTCAGTGCTCAGCTTCGATCAGTAATGTTAAGAACCACAAATCAAGCCAGAAATCTTGGTGTAGTCATGGACTCAGACCTGAATTTGCGTGTATACTGCGTGTATACTGCGTGTGTACTGCATTTCTACAGCGTGTGTCCTGCGTGTATACTGCGTGTGTACTGCGTTTCTACAGCGTGTGTCCTGCGTGTATACTGCGTGTGTACTGCGTTTCTACAGCGTGTGTCCTGCGTGTATACTGCGTGTGTACTGCGTTTCTACAGCGTGTGTCCTGCGTGTATACTGCGTGTGTACTGCGTGTGTACAGCGTGTGTACAGCGTGTGTACAGCGTGTGTACAGCGTGTGTACAGCGTGTGTACTGCGTTTCTACAGCGTGTGTACAGCGTGTGTACTGCGTTTCTACAGCGTGTGTACAGCGTGTGTACAGCGTGTGTACAGCGTGTGTACTGCGTTTCTACAGCGTGTGTACTGCGTGTGTACAGCGTGTATATTGCGTGTGTACAGCGTGTGTCCTGCGAGTGTCCTGCGTGTATATTGCGTGTATACTGCGTGTGTACTGCATTTCTACAGCGTGTGTCCTGCGTGTATACTGCGTGTGTACTGCGTTTCTACAGCGTGTGTCCTGCGTGTATACTGCGTGTGTACTGCGTTTCTACAGCGTGTGTCCTGCGTGTATACTGCGTGTGTACTGCGTTTCTACAGCGTGTGTCCTGCGTGTATACTGCGTGTGTACTGCGTTTCTACAGCGTGTGTCCTGCGTGTATACTGCGTGTGTACTGCGTTTCTACAGCGTGTGTCCTGCGTGTGTACTGCTTTTCTACAGCGTGTGTACAGCGTGTGTACAGCGTGTGTACTGCGTTTCTACAGCGTGTGTACAGCGTGTGTACTGCGTTTCTACAGCGTGTGTACTGCGTGTGTACAGCGTGTGTCCTGCGAGTGTCCTGCGTGTATATTGCGTGTATACTGCGTGTATACTGCGTGTATACTGCGTGTGTACAGCGTGTGTCCTGCGAGTGTCCTGCGTGTGTACTGCGTTTCTACAGCGTGTGTCCTGCGTGTATACTGCGTGTGTACTGCGTTTCTACAGCGTGTGTCCTGCGTGTATACTGCGTGTGTACTGCGTTTCTACAGCGTGTGTCCTGCGTGTGTACTGCTTTTCTACAGCGTGTGTCCTGCGTGTATACTGCGTGTGTACTGCGTTTCTACAGCGTGTGTCCTGCGTGTATACTGCGTGTGTACTGCGTTTCTACAGCGTGTGTCCTGCGTGTATACTGCGTGTGTACTGCTTTTCTACAGCGTGTGTCCTGCGTGTATACTGCGTGTGTACTGCGTTTCTACAGCGTGTGTCCTGCGTGTATACTGCGTGTGTACTGCGTGTATATTGCGTGTGTACAGCGTTTCTACAGCGTGTGTCCTGCGTGTATACTGCGTGTGTATTGCGTGTGTACTGCGTTTCTACAGCGCGTGTCCTGCATGTATACTGCGTGTGTACTGCATTTCTACAGCGTGTGTACTGCGTTTCTACAGCGTGTGTACAGCATGTGTACTGCGTGTGTCCTGTGCGTGTCCTGCGTTTCTACAGCGTGTGTACTGCGTGTGTACAGCGTGTGTACAGCGTGTGTACAGCGTGTGTACAGCGTGTGTACTGCGTTTCTACAGCGTGTGTACAGCGTGTGTACTGCGTTTCTACAGCGTGTGTACTGCGTGTGTACAGCGTGTGTCCTGCGAGTGTCCTGCGTGTATATTGCGTGTATACTGCGTGTATACTGCGTGTATACTGCGTGTGTACAGCGTGTGTCCTGCGAGTGTCCTGCGTGTGTACTGCGTTTCTACAGCGTGTGTCCTGCGTGTATACTGCGTGTGTACTGCGTTTCTACAGCGTGTGTCCTGCGTGTATACTGCGTGTGTACTGCGTTTCTACAGCGTGTGTCCTGCGTGTATACTGCGTGTGTACTGCTTTTCTACAGCGTGTGTCCTGCGTGTATACTGCGTGTGTACTGCGTTTCTACAGCGTGTGTCCTGCGTGTATACTGCGTGTGTACTGCGTTTCTACAGCGTGTGTCCTGCGTGTATACTGCGTGTGTACTGCTTTTCTACAGCGTGTGTCCTGCGTGTATACTGCGTGTGTACTGCGTTTCTACAGCGTGTGTCCTGCGTGTATACTGCGTGTGTACTGCGTGTATATTGCGTGTGTACAGCGTTTCTACAGCGTGTGTCCTGCGTGTATACTGCGTGTGTATTGCGTGTGTACTGCGTTTCTACAGCGCGTGTCCTGCATGTATACTGCGTGTGTACTGCATTTCTACAGCGTGTGTACTGCGTTTCTACAGCGTGTGTACAGCATGTGTACTGCGTGTGTCCTGTGCGTGTCCTGCGTTTCTACAGCGTGTGTACAGCGTGTGTACAGCGTGTGTACTGCGTGTGTACTGCGTTTCTACAGCGTGTGTACTGCGTGTGTACTGCGTTTCTACAGCGTGTGTCCTGCGTGTATACTGTGTGTGTCCTGCGAGTGTCCTGCGTGTATACTGCGTGTGTACTGCGTTTCTACAGCGTGTGTACAGCGTGTGTACTGCGTTTCTACAGCGTGTGTACTGCGTTTCTACAGCGTGTGTACAGCGTTTCTACAGCGTGTGTACTGCGTTTCTACAGCGTGTGTACAGCGTGTGTACAGCGTGTGTACTGCGTTTCTACAGCGTGTGTACTGCGTTTCTACAGCGTGTGTACTGCGTTTCTACAGCGTGTGTCCTGCGTTTCTACAGCGTGTGTACTGCGTTTCTACAGCGTGTGTACTGCGTTTCTACAGCGTGTGTCCTGCGTGTGTCCTGCGTTTCTACAGCGTGTGTACAGCGTGTGTACAGCGTGTGTACTGCGTGTGTACTGCGTTTCTACAGCGTATGTCCTGCGTGTATACTGTGAGTGTCCTGCGTGTATACTGCGTGTGTACTGCGTTTCTACAGCGTGTGTCCTGCGTGTGTCCTGCGTGTGTACTGCGTTTCCACAGCGTGTGTACTGCGTTTCTACAGCGTGTGTACTGCGTGTGTCCTGCGTGTGTCCTGCGTTTCTACAGCGTGTGTACAGCGTGTGTACTGCGTGTGTACTGCGTTTCTACAGCGTGTGTACTGCGTTTCTACAGCGTATGTCCTGCGTGTATACTGTGTGTGTCCTGCGAGTGTCCTGCGTGTATACTGCGTGTGTACTGCGTTTCTACAGCGTGTGTACTGCGTGTGTACTGCGTGTGTCCTGCGAGTGTCCTGCGTGTATACTGCGTGTCTACAGCGTGTGTACAGCGTGTGTACTGCGTGTGTACAGCGTGTGTCCTGCGAGTGTCCTGCGTGTATACTGCGTGTGTACTGCGTTTCTACAGCGTGTGTACTGCGTGTGTCCTGCGAGTGTCCTGCGTGTGTACTGCATTTCTACAGCGTGTGTCCTGCGAGTGTCCTGCGTGTATACTGCGTGTGTACTGCATTTCTACAGCGTGTGTCCTGCGTGTGTACTGCGTGTGTCCTGCGAGTGTCCTGCGTGTGTACTGCGTTTCTACAGCGTGTGTACAGCGTGTGTACAGCGTGTGTACTGCGTGTGTACAGCGTGTGTCCTGCGTGTATATTGCGTGTGTACAGCGTGTGTCCTGCGTGTATATTGCGTGTATACTGCGTGTGTACTGCGAGTGTCCTGCGTGTATATTGCGTGTATACTGCGTGTGTCCTGCGTGTATATTGCGTGTATACTGCGTGTGTCCTGCGTGTATCCTGCGTGTATATTGCGTGTATACTGCGTGTGTCCTGCGTGTATATTGCGTGTATACTGCGTGTGTCCTGCGTGTATATTGCGTGTATACTGCGTGTGTACTGCGAGTGTCCTGCGTGTATATTGCGTGTATACTGCGTGTGTACAGCGAGTGTCCTGCGTGTATATT